CCTTCTCCTTCTCTTTCTCCTCGCCTTCACACTCTGCGCAATGAATTTTGGCCATTGCACCTGCTCGCTGACTGCACTCGGAGTTATGCTCGAAGGGGCAGTTGGCTGCTAGCTAATAGAAAATTTAAATGCCATCTCCCGGCAGCTGGGAAACTGTGAAACTTGACGTGCTGTAACAATCTAAGCAAAGTTCATAAACTTGGCCGGGCCAAAAGTTTTGAAAACTTATAGTTGCTTTAATTATTATTTTGCTTTTCTTTTATTTAGGTGCACTGAGAATATGCTTTTACATATTTATGCATAAATGTGTGTGTATATATATATATATACATTTGTTGCAAGTTCGTTGCAGGTCATTGAGGCAAATGTTTATTCCTAAGAGTTCATGTGGAACAAAATTATGTGGCTGCTGTGGACAGATTTGCCATAGAGAGAAGGAGAGAATGTAAAAGAATGAGAGAAGTCCTATATTAAGACTCTGGCTGCAGGTCAAGTTGGTTCGCTTAACCCAGAGGTTTAGCTTCTAGTTTGTTTCCTTTGTTATATCAAGTTTCAATTAGCTGTGGAAAATTTGCCTTAAGAGTTTTAACTTCAAACTGAGCTGCAAAATTAGAAGTTGAGTGGCAAAAATCATCATTTTGGTCCAAAGAAAATTTTAAATGTGGGAAAAATATTTATTTATATATGTATATACTTTCAGTAGTTTTGAAGAAATAAATTTTGAAGTTCTAAAGTTATATGGAAGGTTTGGAGCAATATGTTTCTGGCAGAAACTTTCTGTTAATAAAGAATTAGTCAATATAAAGGAAACACAAAATCCTTTCTATATATTTGTTCAGAATTAATTCAATATTTTTTTATTAATTTAAAATTTTTTATTATTTATATTTTTAATTTTTCTTTGTATATATGTTTATCTAAAAAAATTTTGTTTTCCTTAAATTCTTTTTTTTTTTTATTATATTTATTTATTTATTTATTTTTGTATATACCCTGAATCCAATGTGAAAACAGCGTGTAATGGTTTTGTATATTATTAAAATTATCAAAACTATCAATTTATTATTATTATAATATATATACATTATTTATCTTAAACCTATCTTTTCTAATATTCTTCAAAGTGATTTACATATAAACTAATTTTTAATAATACTTATTTTATTAATTGATTCATTTGTTCGAATTATATCCTCTACAACTCATTCATCGAGTATTCGCCCAGCATTCACTCAATTAGCTGTTGACTTCTACTGCTCTGCTCCCACTCTGTGGAGCAGCCAATCATTTGGTATTTCGGTTCACACTTGCAACTCCGTATTTCGCTTATCAAACTCTGAGCTACGGCATCGCATTCGAACACCTTGTGCTGTGGCTGGTATAAATCACGCTTCTAGCTGGACGTTAGTTTGACACAGACACAGCTTGAGTATCTGTGGCATGGTAGGTGGCTTGCATGTTGCATAAACAAGGATTAAACAAAAGAAGTCACTGGTCCAACGGTTGGCCCACACTCGAATGCTGCGACCCTCAGCAGTGCAGCAGCAACACAAGGCAAATATTTGCCGTCGTGTGCCGCCTCGACAAGGACATCAGTCGAGGGACGCCATTTCCCTGCCAGAGTGTCTCTCTGACTGAGTGCGTGTGTGTGTGTGTGTGTGTGTGTGAGTGTGTGTGCTGCTTTTTACTTTGTGTGCCACTCACGTTGTGCTCGTTATTCATATTTATTGTACACGTTGCCAGTGCCACCGAGAAGGACCCCTTCATGAGTCCTGGACGAGTTGCATGTGCATTGCTTTTGCTTCTCCTGCTGCTGTTGGTGTTGTTGTAGGCGTGCGTTCGTGTCTAGCAGCAAAAACTTTGCAATTACAGTTATTTGATGGGATTTACACCCACTCATACATCCACATACACACACACACACACACACATATGTATATAGAAAAACACCTCGAATCCTTTCGCCTGGGTTATACAATGCGGGCGCTGCCTGTTTGGACATTCATTTGCTGCCTCAATTTTACAGTCTTGACGCGCACGAAGCAAGTGAGCGAGCGTACGGGGTACGGGTAGCTGGAGGCGCTGGCAAGCAGGAAGCGTAAAGTGGTGTTAAATGACAGGGAATTATAAAAGAGGATAAAGTAGTTTTATAGGTCCTTAACGGAAAAGTACGAAAATAAATTTGCACTTGTAGAGAAAGCCAATAATGCAAAGTTAGTTAATGAATCTTTAGAGAAATAATAGAGAATGTCTGAATGAGAAAGAGAAAGAGAAGTAGAGAGAGAAAGGGTGCGGAAGAGAAAGAAAGGGGGTGAGAGAGAGTAGGAGTGAGAAGAGGAGTGTGAGAGAGAGTGCAAGTAAAGGGAATCAAATAAAGAACGCTGTAGAGATGGAAAGACAATTAAGGTGAAAAGGAAGATAGAGCTATAGATGTCAGTAAAGGAAATTTATTTTATAATAATTTATATAACTTTAAATTTATATTTATTTAAATTTTTGATTATCAGTAAACTTTACTGTCAAATAAATACAAATGATCTTTTTAATAAAGTGCATAATAATTTCATAATTTAAATATTTGCATGTATATTTAAGGACTAAATTAAATAACAAAACTTAAATAATAATCCAAATGCTGCATCCCGATTCACAATTTCGTGCGTGCACATTTAATATAAATCCCCTTGGACAGTTGCGACAATTGCGTATTTTATTAAACAATTTCGATGACACTCAAACAGCGAGGTGAGATATTCACTTTTTATATTTTTAATCTCATCGCACTTAATCAGACGCAAATCAGAAATAATTTTATATTTGTTATTGCATATTTTATGGCCCGCTGGCAGTAAACAAAATGGGGCGCTGCTGGGGGTCGCAGGGGGCGGTCGCCCTTGTAATATGCTGATTTATAATGTTGCGACAGGGCAGTTAAATTGATGGCCTAAAAATGCGCTGACAATAAACCAACGGCGTTACGACGGGGGCGGCGGGGCGTAGCGGAGCCACTCGCGACATGTGTACAAATTTCAACAGCAGACATTTCACAAGTGCATAAATAAAATATATGATAAATACATGTTTTTATCAATGCTATGTATATGATAATTATAATTTGAATATTTGTCAATTCGTGATATGATTGAATCATAGGGCAAGAGCTTAACGGAAGCAAAGAGTTGGATATGCATGAAATTCAAGGCGGCATAAATTATGGGATTAATGTGATACAACTATAGATTTTTGTTGTAATAAAAATTTAATAAATTAAATATAGATTAATTGTTGTATATGGGAATACTTTTACATGGGAAAACTGAAGAATTCGAACAGAATGCACGAGTATAAGCTCCAAAGTGGGTTAAACAATACAGATGCACAGACATTGCACAAAAACCAATATACTCATTTGACTATCGTGAATGAGTTTAAAATTGTGTAATGGCATTAACAAACAAGTAAGAAGACTCTAGTCGAGACTGCTCGACTAGGAGATACCCTGAACCCTCTAATCTGATATTCTAATCAGTCTGCATTTCTTTTCGACACACATACATACACATACACGTATTAGAACGCGCTCTGCAAACAGCGCAGTAAGCAGCGACTGCGCTTGGGCTGCGCTGTAGTGTAGGTAACATTATAAGAATTTATTTGTTGAATAATTTAATTTCTATACGTACAATCTTAATAAAAGTTTCAGGGCGTAATTATATGGTGAAAATGTATGTACATTCCAAAGCACATGTCTCTAGTACTTGAAATACGCTTTTTACAAAGGTGAGGGTGAGGGGGTGGATATAGGGGTGGGGGGTAAATTACAACAAAAATCGAAATTATATAAAATACATATAAGTCTATATTAAAAATTTGGAAGCTCTAGTTTTAAAGGTTTAGGAGATATAATTAAAAAACTAGCTTTCGATAAGGTTTTTGATCGATAATAAAATATCGGGAGTAGTTATCGATATATAAAGAAAAACTTGATATGCGCGTGATATACACGGACCTAGGAAAAAAAATTTGAAGTCTCTAGCTCTTATATCTTCTGAAATCGACGCGTTCATACATACGGACGGACAGACAGACGGACAGGGCCAAATCGACTTAGCTCGTCGCCCTGATCAAGAATATATATACTTTGTGGGGTCTGCCACGCCTCCTCCTGCCTGTTACATACTTTTAACAAAACCATTATACCCTGATTTCCCATTTTCAATGGGTTCAGGGTATAAAAAAATAATAAATAAGTAAATAACCAGCAGTATTTATATTAATAATAATAAATAAAATCAATGGAAAACGAAGTGCAAAGTAAAATTCATATATTTTTATTATATTTTTAACATAATAATATCAAATTTAATATTTATATATTTAAGCACATAATTGTATGTTATATATTAATAATAATAAATATAATCAAGTAATTCAATGGAAAACGAAGCGAAAAGTAAAATACATATATTTCAATTATATATTTAACATAATAATATCAAATTTAATATTTATATACATATTTAAGCACATACTTGCTTTTAGCCAATTTCGCATTATAATCAGTCAACAGCTGCAGTTAAAAAAGGGTATATACATACACACATACATACATTGATATATATGTGTGTGCGTCTACACATGTCCCCTCGGGCTCACGTCAGACGTGCTTTGGGGATTGAACGTCCATAAAATGCTGCTGGGATTTATTTAATAAAGCGCACAAATAAAATATTAAATTCCCATCATAAATAATTCGCCATGTCGTTAAAAGAAAAACAAAATTGATAATAAAATGCAAATTGTAAAAAAAAGTAAATTTTAATATGAGAAATACGCGCGATTCCCTTTTAATGCACCCTAGGGATTTGTTTGCTTAGCTTGCTCGGCTTTTAATTTGCTCTCTTTTTTTAATGCTGTCTGTCATCAAAAAGATTTGAAATACAATTCATATTTCACATTTATAATTAACATAATTTCATATGTGGTTTTTTCTCTTGCAGAACTATCGATTGCACTGCGGGATGTGCGTGTGCGAGTGCCGCATGCAGTGAGGCGTGGCGAGAAGGCGGTGCTGAAATGCTTCTACGACATCGAGGATGACAGCCTGTACTCGGTCAAGTGGTATAAGGGACGCAGAGAGTTCTACAGATATACGCCCAAAGAGACGCCACCGATGAAGGTGTTTCATTTTCCAGGTGTTAAAGTTCGGGTAAGTTGAGATTGACATTTAAAAAAAAAGCTATAAAATATTTCAAACGAATATTTCAATAAAATAATTACAAATATTAAAAAAAAAAAAAAAGTTTATTTAACTAATATTATCATCATCTTATATATAGTAAATAAAATGAAAGGTAAAACATTATTTCGGTCAGATTTTCTGTCAGGTGTTATATAATAGTATTCTATTGAATTTGCTGACAATTGCTAAATCGAAAAATGTCTCTAAAAATAGCTTCAATTAGAATTTAAATTCATGTAAAGTTTCTCCATGATATAGCAAATCGAAATAAATTAAACGAAACGTGAATCTAACAATGTGAAACATTTGCATTGAAATGCTTCACTTAACACGGGGTTGGGTCATGGCAAAGAATGCGGCGGGGCGGTGCATAGTTCAATAGATACACACACACACACACACACACACAAATAGCAAATATTTCAATGCACAATCAAATCAAAACACGGTTTTTAACTTCCGCTTGATGGCAGTTACGAGCTATACGAAAAAAAAAGCCAGAAAACAGAAAAAAAATCTATCCCCCGCCTTCTGCCTGGCGCATCCTATTTGTAGCTCTTGAGTTTTACTCCCTTTTCGGTTTTGTTTTTCAGTTTTGCTTTTTGCAAATGAAATTCGCAATATTTTTCGATAAATATTGGCATTTTTAGCTTGCAGCACACAATTTTCGAAATTATTCAGGCATATGAAAGAAATACATGGACATTTTATTTATTTTCATTTACATTTACATTTCTATGCCAAGCGACAATAGTCAAATAAAACAAAAACAAAGAAAAGCAACGCAAAATATAAAAATATGCAAACTAAAATAAATATAAACAAATGTGAAAAGACTACAAATTTGCAGTCTGCTGCAATGGAAATGTGTGTGCTTCAAAATATCTGAAAAACAATTCGAATACTTAGAAAAAAAGAGAAAGCGAGAGTAAACTAAATTGCTGTGAATTTTATTCAGAATTTTATTCAGAATTTTATGTAGCTAACATCCTTTTAGTTTTTATTTATTTATTTTTCATATATTATATTAAATGAAATAGTTGATGCAGTTGTTCGGCCATGTCATCAGCTGGTCTTAAATATTTATTAATATAGAAAGCCCGCTGTGCAGAGTCTGGGATTTTGCTTTGGGATTTCCATATGGCCTGAAAACATTTGCATTTTTTTCTCATTTTTGTGAAAAATAAAAAAAAAATCGAATAAAATATTTAATAATTCATTTAACAACGCAGTCGACACTATCGCCATTTGTTATTGCGCGGACTTTATATATATTTTATATATACATATATATATTTGACAAACATGTCACAAGCGCAGTTTTTATTATTTACCACACTGATGATTTTGAAAACAACTGCATACTGTAGAAATATGCAATATATATAGAGAGATATATGTATATATAAATGGCATATAAGCTGCTGGCTTATAAAATGCACAAAATAAAAAACGGGCCAAACATTCGTCGAGATCCGCATAAAGTTGACCAGCTTCAGCAATTCTGCAGCCAGAACCAATGTAGTTTGTGTGCTCGCTCAGGCAGTGTTCAAAGAGTATATAGGGATTGTCTAAGATATGAGGAGTGTGAAGAAAAAACTAAATTGTAGATAAAATGTTATATAGGTAGATCTTGGGTTACATTTTGCATTTTATATTTTATATTTAATATATATATTTTTCATTTTATATATTTTCCATTTTATATTTCATAGTCAATATATATGTTTTGAATTTAATATTTTATGTGTGGCTTAAAATACAAAATATAAAAATGTAATTAAATATTAATTATTTATTACTATTAATTTTATTTTGGATTCTCTGTATTAGTTATTTTTATTTTATTTTATTATTTATTATTTAATATTAATTATTTATTATTTATTAAGTATTTGTTAACTTTTTCATTAATTTAAATTATTAATTATTTCTCTTTATTAAATTTTTGCATTTGAGCTGCAAAGATTAATTGAATATTTCTGTAGTTTTGCTTTCTTGATCACTTCCAATAGCTTTGCTCTTTCTTTGGAATCTTGATGAGCGCGCATTAAGCAGTCGTTTACACTCATCCACATTGCGTCTTGCTTGCTGTTTTGCTGTCCACCCGCTCAATTATTGAGGAGCTCAACGCGAAGCCAGCAGCAATGCACGAGATACGTTTGCAGTGCAATTTTTCACATGCAGCGACGCCCGCACTTTCCCACTCTTCCACTCTCTCTCACTCTTTCTCTTTATACTATATACATATATATAAAGTTGTGTATGGCAAATATAGTTATGCTCTGTGTATTTTTTTAAGCAAATGTATTTCGCTTTTATGTCAGGCACTTCCCATATTCATTTGAAGCTCTTTCTCTACATCCCCCTATCTCTCTCTCTCTCTCTCTCTCTCTCTCTCTCTCTCTCTCTCTCACACACTCTCTGTCTCTTCTCTCTTGTTGCAGCGCACTTCGTCGAACGAAAGCCAAGTGGTGCTCGATTCGGTAACAATGTCCACATCCGGTAAATACAGTTGCGAAGTATCTGCGGATGCGCCCTCATTTCATACATTAATAGCGGCCGCCGAATTGGAAGTTATTGGTAAGTAAAATAAATACAAAAGCCAAACAATTGTTCAACATGGCCAAAAGGCCGACAAAAAAATATTTGCATATACATATGTAAAATAATATTTAAAGTAAAGAAATTAAATCAAATGCCAGATTTTTACTCCAATTGGCTTGCAATGAGTTAATATTTTATTGATTGCGCACATATAAAGTTTGACCGATTTTGGTCAGAAAAAGGCTTTTAATATCTGCATATTAAGCTATCGAACTTTTCCAAGCTATTTCTCTCTGTGTTATCAGATTTTGAGAACTCAAAAATAGTTACTAAGCAAACTAACTAATGAATCTGATTTAAACAAATTTTTTTTAATTTACAACATTTTACTGATAAAATTTCCAAAAAAAAAATAAAAAAAATAAAAAAATAAATGATAAAACTATTAAAACAAAATGCAGTAAATAAAATATATATATCTCTATATATTTTTTTTTTCTTTTTAAATAATATTACTCAAAATAACACCAATTTATATTTCTTTTGTATAAAAGAAATGCAAATTAATAATTGCATTCAAAATTAATATATATATATATGTATATATATTTAATATTAATATTATTTTAATATTATTTTATTTCATTTACTTATTATGTTTTTTTATTTTTTAGAATATGTTTTGAATTACTCTCGATTTCGCTTTGTTTATTGATAACTATAGTTAAAGCATTCTTTTATTGTAATATACTTATAGCAAACAAATTCAAGACAGTTTATGATAAATAAGCAGACAAATTACATTATACAGCTAAATAAAGACGGCTATTCTCATTCATAACAAATGATGTTTATCAAGAATCAGCTAGAGTGACATGTGCTAAGGCCCAACAATAAAGTGTTTAAGCCCAAAGACAAAAGCTTAAGTTATAAAAATGAAGAAGTTAAATGAAAAACTCTAACCCGGGTGAGGTTAAAATAAATTCGTATCTTCGTAATACATTGAAATATTCAGAAATTTCCATACAAATTTTCTTGTGAAGAAGATAAGCTGTTGCTTGTCTTGGATTATAAGCAAGTCTATGATTATTGCTCATGCTTTTAATTGTTTTATATATGCCAGAAGATTCTTGTTGACTATAAAATGTTTCCCGCTCGTGCGTCAAGTCCCTAAAAAACTTCTCATACTTTATCTTATTAGCTCTAATTAACAATGTGTTTGCCCTTATAATAAATGTTTTATGATGTGTCAATTTTCTTGTTTAGTTGACTCTTGCTCTATCGGCACGCACAGCTGTTTTTGCCATAAATGTTGGGCTATTAAACAATATTTTAATAATTAATTATACGATCTATAGAAACGTTGCGATAAACCTTTGGAGCATTTAATGATGCATGCCACAAATGTTTAGCCATAAACAGAAAACAAGATAATGTGGGGCTCCACAGTGTTTGGCTGCGTTTGTTGGCTTGCGGTTGGTCCAATTGCCGCACACAAACCAATTGCTTCCAATTGGAAATGTACACAGACAGGCAAATATACAGACATACAGATCTATATATCCATATATGTATGTATTTATATGTGTATATGGTCATATAAACATGAAATAGACACGAGTAAAGTTTACCAAGGCGGGCGAGCAGCCAATTTGAGCCGCTACTTTGGCAAAGCTTCTAAACCAATCATCCGTACACACACAGTTACACACACAGACAGACACATACACAGTCAGACACCACTCACACTTGGTTCGAAAAGTTTATTGACCATCTCAAACGTTTTGCGAGTGCTTTTTCTATACATTTCTTAGTTTTGTTTGGCTGCTTAAATATCCTCAGCTTCATCTGGAGCCAGTAAATTTGTTTGTGTTTTGTCTGCTTGAATACAACCGCACATACGAGCGGGAAGTTTATTTTTAAGTTACGCCCCTCACACACACACACACACACACACACAGGCAGACAGACGGACAGACAGACAGAGTAAACTTTGGCATTCGTTGGGTCTCTAACCTCTTGACTCTTGACATCGGCTCAAGTCCTGAGTCCCTTTTGGCCCGTCCAACTGAACTCTGTCGGACCATGTCCTGTTCGCATATGACAGCCTTGCTCTGGAATTAGACAGCTGCTTGGCTCTCGTCTTTCTGTTTGACTTGCTGCAGCTCGATGCAAAAATAGAAAAATACTTATTTATTTTTATAGTTGAGTTTGTTGCATCAACTGCATTGAATTGTCGTTTGGGTGAATCATCAGCATCATCATCATCATCATCGTCATCATCATCATCATACGTGATATCCTACTTACTTACCATACTCAGGTTATTTGAATGCACAAATACGAGGAGGCATTTGATGGCCTCAAATTGTTGACTTTGACTGGAGCTGACTCGATTTTGGCTAAAGTGGATTTCCCATTGTATGAAATTTATGAACTGAACCGGTGTGAGCTGCGGAAACTTAACTGATTCAGGGTACAGTGAACTTGGGAACCAATGTGAACTTATTTGATTGAGATTTAGCTTCAGAACATGAACGGAATACTTTTTAGCTTTTATTTGCAATTATTTAAATACTCACTTTATTAAAATACTCACAATTTCATTTTAAACTCGTACGAACTGTTTTGTTCTCCTAGTTCTTTTAACATTATATATAGTAAAACTATTTCCAGCTACATTAAACTTTTTATTTGGTTTTTTACTTTTGTTTTAAATTCATTTCACTTTGAATTCGTATTAGCTCACAGTTTAGTAAGTTCCACAAAAATAAATACTAATCCCAATAAATTCAAGATTGATTAAGAAAACGCTTTTAATGTTTAATCAAAATTTATTTTTGGGCGTAGCCCATGTTTCTAAAATGGTTAATTTATGATATAAGACTGGTTATATTTAAAAAAATTATACATATTTTAATATTTATTTGTAATATATATTTTTTATAATATATTTTATTTATATATATGATATATTTTAAATATTTATTAATATGTTATACAATATTATATATTATTCACCTTATTAAGATAAAATAAAATATAAAAAATTCTCTAGTGATTTTAAACTAGTTCTAAGCAAAACTTCTTAAAAAAAAAAAAAAAAAAGACCGAAAATTAACAGCAGTTAGTTTGTTAGAGACTTGCTGTTCCGAGAACTACGGTAAAAATCATTGATAACGGAACGATTTCTGTCATGTTCACAATCGAACAGCATTCGTGGATCCATCACGTTGGCTTGGCAGGGCTGAGTGCGTTTAGGCTTTCAAAAGCATTTCAATTATAAACTGCGAAACCACAGAGATTTGACCCCGACTGTCATTACACACGCAGACATAGTCACACACACACGTACACAGCAAAAAATAAAAATGAACTGAAATGGAAGGCCTTCAAAATAGCCAGACATGAAGACCTTTGGGGCGCATGGACAATGGCTGGATTTGAGCAACGTGACAGTCGATGGTCGTTTGTGTGTTTTGTGTGTGTGTGTGTGTGTGTGTGTGTGTGTGTTTGTAGGCGGCCAAAGTCTGGCCACATGACAAGTTCCGTGAAAAAAAAAATACAAAATACAACAGAACTTACAGCCATCTCTCATTTTGCATTGCATTTACAGAGACGCCGCACAATGCGCCATTCATAACCGGAATCCGGCCCCGATATCGGGTCGGCGACATATTGCGTGGCAATTGCACATCGCGGCACTCCCGGCCGGCGGCCAATCTCACATGGACGGTGAATAATGAAGAGGTGAGTCCCAAATTATGCAAAAACGCAATTTTCTTGTTTTTAAGCAGCAGCTATCTCCCTCCCTCTGTCTCTCTCTCTCTCTCTCTCTCTCTCTCTTTGACTGTGTGTTTGTAATTTATGCAAGAGTGTGTGAATGAGTGTGCATAAGTGTGTGTGCCCTGTAATTACCAGGCAAACATACTCACATAGTCAACGGTTCGTTGTCTGTTGTGCCACGCCCCATCCATTACGCCCTATTTTACGGCTCAAATAATTTAGTGGAATTTTATGCACGCATCGGACATGAAAATGCGGCTAAAAATGACATCGGTGAAAACTCTTCACTTACACACGCACACACATACACCCACACAGTTTTCAACCACGCCCACCCCTCCTGCAGACACACACACACAACAAGTGCATTGGGGCGTAACTCACACATTTGGCTTTCGGCCTTCGGTTTGGCTTTCGGTTTTTCTGGGCTCAACTAATTTGCCAAAATGTATGCAGCGATATTTTTGTCATGATTCGCACAATTCGACGCACTTGTTTATTGAAGCTCATTAAAATAACTTCAGCCAAGTCCTGTGCATAATGAACTGCATATCTGTGGCAGATATGCATGCATGTGGCTCATCTGCATTTGAGGTGGATAGTGGAATGGCATTTTGAGCGGATTGCATTGGTTCTGTCTGTGGCTGTAGTTGCGAAAAAATGCCTGGGAAGCTCAAACTTTTAAAGAAGCATTTCGCGATATGGCAGAGATAAGAGATGGGAGATAAAAGATTGAAAAGTGGAGGTGGGAGATATGAGATAGGAAATAGAAGATAGGAGATAGGTTATAGGAGATAGGAGATGAGAAATATGAAATATGAGGTTTGAAATATGATATATAAAATATGAAATATGAAAAATGAAATATAAAATATAAAATATAAAAAATAAAATATAAAATATAAAGTATAAAATATAAAATATGAAAAATGAAATATAAAATATAAAATATAAAATATAAAGTATAAAATATATAATATAAAATATAAAATATAAAATATAAAATATAAAATATAAAATATAAAATATAAAATATAAAATATAAAATATAAAATATAAAATATAAAATATAAAATATAAAATATAAAATATAAAATATAAAATATAAAATATAAAATATAAAATATAAAATATAAAATATATAATATATAATCTGAGATAGGGGATCAGAAATAGATGGAATATGGAAGGCGGGAAAGAGAAATTAAAAATTAAAAAACTGAAACATTTAAAACAATATAGAAAGAAAATCGGTTATTAATTGGAGAAATAGCAAATTGAACAAATATTATAATAGTGAAATATGGAATATACACCGAACTCTTCCATTCCTCAATTTCTCTTCATGACATCAAGCTTGAAACAGCATCAAAGACTGGGCTGTAGCTTAATAAATGCACAACTCTCTGTATAAGTTGCTCATTTGAGTCCTTTGTCTTCATGCTCTAACTATGATTTCAATAGATTAAATTGCTTTACAGTAAGCTCGAGCATCTCATTATGCATAGACCCAAACAAATACACTGACCGAAAGAGTATGAATATTAGCCGAAACGAAACCAGAGTTGATTTGACAAATAAATACAATTTAAAGAAAACAATGATAGTAATAGAAATAATGGTAATAGTTATTTATTTTACTTTACGAAAATCCATAACTTTCAAATCGACTTCCAGTTGAAATTTAGTACAGTTTTCTGTCAGTGTAATCAATATTATATTGCAATTTACTATTTAATTGTTTGTGGGTTACTTGTGGTAAGGGCTGCGGATCTAAAGGAAGAGTGCATTGGGATTTCACGAATCGAGCTGCATTTCCAATCAATCGACGAGGGCGAACATCAAATGCAGTCAATTCAAAAGGCAAGAGCAGGAGCAAGAAGCAGCAGAGGCAGAAGCAGAAGCAGAAGCAGAGGCAGAGGCAGAAGCTGAAGCTGAAGCGAAAGCAACTCAATCCGGAACCAAGAAATTCATGTGAAACCCCATTTTAGCAGCCAACGCGCAATTGCGGTTAGTCTTTGAGTGTATGTGTGTGTATATAGGTGAGCGTATGTGTGTGTGTGTGTATGGGTAGGTGTCTTCGTGTGTGTGCTTGCGCTTTGTTTTGTTGGCCACGATTCCGTTGTTGTTGTTGTTGTTGTTGCTTCCGCTATTATGCGCCATCAATGAGCATTGTTTGCCATGGACTGAAGCTTAAATTGCCTCAACTGTAAAAGGTGTGCATGTATGTGTATAAGTGTGCATGTGTGCGTGTGTGTAAGCTAATTATTTAGCTGGCTGCGTTTATTATGCGATTTGCCATGCGTTGCGCCACGTAGCAGAACTTTATGCCAAATTAAACATTAGGTTAACTGTTTAGGCAAAGAAATAAGATCCTTGACTTATAAGCTGCTTATGTTAGGCATAAGATTCGCTATAAAGTGGAATTTTAATAGAAGCAACCCAAGAAGTTAGAAATGAAAATTCGAATGGAAATTCTTGATATCTAACATTGTTGAGAATATAATATGAATGTTGTCTAGTTAAAGCTAAAATGTTTATTGACGATAGTTGTGTGAGAATATTTGCATAGTAAATAAATTTATTGGCATATATTTGTTTACAAATCAAATGAAAATACTTTTGCTTGAATATATTTGATTAAATTTTATAGTTTGAAAAAATAAATGAACAGTGTTTGTGTGTGTTTATTTAAACTTTTGGATATTAATATTTATTTAATAAAAATTAGATATCCTTGTTAATAATAAAATATACAAAGTATAAAATAAAATAAATAGGTAAATTTGTTATACATAGATAATAAAAAAAGTTTCTGCTGAATAACTGAGTTGAGTATTATATACAGGAATTCATTGATCTGAATTGTTTGATATGTTTATTTATATAAACAACAACAGTCCTGCTGGCTTATCATCACATTACTCTTCTTGATATTTGCCTTGAGCATAGAGTTAAGAGTAACAAAGAATTTCATATTTATAAAGGATAATATTGAAACATTTTTGTTTATATTGAAAATAAATATATGTATTTATTTTCACTCGCTTCCAGGTGAATCCTTCGCACGTGCGACACCATAAAATACTGCGGGACACGCGCAACGAGATGGAGACCTCCATAGTGGGCATACACTTCGTGGTGACGGATCAGCACTTTGAAAATGGCAAATTGAAGGTAATTGAAGCGAGCATATTAATGTGCGAGTAGAGAATTGTATTTAACAATAAAAACATATATCAATAGCTGCGCTGCAGTGCCCAGCTGCATGATATCTACTGGAAGACGACGGAGAAGACCATATTGGAGGCGGATCCATTTGGCAAATATGGTGGCAACGGTGCCAGCGGGAATCGCGTGAGTGCCGATGAGATATATGACCAGTATACGCTGCACGAGGACGAGCAGTTCCACAACAAGAAGAACAGCTACCTGACCCAGCTGCAGGGTAAGTTCTTCTTTTAGTTTCCTTTCTTTTCTTTTTTTTCTTTTTTTGGTTCATTCAGTCAGCCAATTAGCACACACATGCACCTAGACAAAAGGCAGCAACAACAACTACATCCACATCTCCAACAATCACAACAACAAGAACAACAACAAAAGCAAAAGAGTACATGGCCTGCATTTCTCTATTTCTCGCTAGACTTTCTCTTTCATTTTGTACCCTCAGGCGAAGAAGATGACGGAGCGGATGGTTTAGAGGATGGCGGCGCCGCCTGGCGAGGCGTCAGCTCCGCCTCCTCCAGCTCAACGTTGTCGCTGGCGCCGAGTGGCCTGGCTGCCACGCTGCTGGCGCTGCTCAGCTGGTCGCTGGCCAGGCAATTAGTGTCGCAGCTGGCGCCGATTACAAAGCACAGGCCGATGCGGATGCGGGCGTTGCAACAGGACCGACAGAGCCAGAGCAAAGGCCTGCGGGCGCATTGCTGCACGGACAGCAGCAGCAACAGCAGCAGCAGCAGCAGCAGCAACAACAAAGGATGCAGCAAAGAATGCAGCAGATGCATCAGGCAATTAACATGATTCAATTGTCACGCAACTCTTGTGCCACACTTCAGGGAGGAACAGCGGAAGGAGACAATGCAACAGCAGCAGCAGCAGCAGCGGCAGCAGGCAGCAAAGTAGGCTTCAGCCCTAGGCAACAGCAAGCAACTGCTAAATGTATCTAAAATATTTAATCCTCAACACAAACAGACAACAGTTTCAGCTAGCTCAAACAAGAAAGAGGAGTCATTTCGAAGGCATTTAAAAACACACACACAAGCAACAAAGCAACAACTTTCTAATGAAAGCAGCAGCAACTACAACCTATCGCTAGGTTTCCTTAAATACAAGCTCATTTATTTCGTTTGCCCAGCCGAGCCAATAAAATGGAACCACTTGCGAACTGGTTCACTCTCTATGATTTTTACACTATGAAATTGAAAAGAAAAACTTATACAAAAAAGAAACCTAAAAAGAGAAAAAAAAAAGAAATGAAAACGAGTTGAAAAAATGTTGTGCTAAGCTTTTCACTTTGTTTCTCTACAATTAAAATATATATATAAATAAAAATATATATATATATATATAAATTTATATTTATATAACGAAAGTCAAAATGATTTATATACATACATAAATAAATGATTGATATTTATATGTAACATATAAAGTTATATGCAGACAGATACACATACATAGCTACATAAATACAATACATATATACATACATACATACATTACACAAATACATACAGAACACAATCCCCAAAGAGTAAAGTGAAAGAAGAAGAGCAATTAATTTGTAAGTCTATAAATACGCCTATATGTATGTAAAATCATATATGTAATTGTATATAATATGAAAAAAAACAAAAACAAAACAAAAACAAAAAAACTAAAAACCAAAATCATAAGAAACGTAAATTGTATAATTGATAAGTATTTACGGTAGATAATCAGAAATAAAAAAAAAACAAGCGAAACAAGAAGAGTTTGAAGAGACTTTTTAATGGGAGACTTGACTTAAAGTAAGTAAAATTTATTATTATAAAAATGATGCAAATATTCTTATTCATTCACTGATAATTAAAAATAATAGTGCTTCAAACTAAAAAATAAAAAACTAATTTTATTTAAAAAAAAATCTCTTTCTAACATATAAAAAATTGTTTCATTTTTATTTTTAAAATTGTTCGTAAATTATGTTTTTTTTTTATAATAATATTTATGCAAATCTTAATTCATGTTGAAGCTCCTCCACCTAATATAAATATATCATACGCTTTAAGCGCAAGTATCAAGTACGTCGAGGATGATAGTCCTGCTTATCCGGCTGCTCCATATAATTACGCAATTAATTATTTACATTCGGAGAACTCACGCCCGTTCCGGCCCGAAACGGACAGCTCGTTAATGATCCTTCGGCCGCAGCAGGACTCGAAATACTTATAAGAAATGACAACAATAAAGATGAGCTGCTGCTGCTGAGCCATAGTGGAGCAGTGGGGTAGTGTGGGTGGGCGAGTGCTCAGCGTTGCCTGCGGAGGCGGCTCCTACAATTAGCATAACTAAAACGCTCAATTAGACGCCCAAAACTCGCAGGACTCGCCAGCCTGGCCAGGCGGGGCAAGGACAACGCACAGGCTCAGCGTCCAGCTCGAACGACGTCTGCCTGTTGTGCAATGCAATTTTCACCTTTTATTACACATTTCTTTGTGGCTGTCTCTCTTCCTTTTGTTTCTTTAATTTCTTTTTGTGTCTGCCTGCTCGGCAGGCGATTTGGGGTATATTGGTTGGAGCTAGTTTGATGTGCTTTAGCTAGTCATTTGTTTGTTTGTGGAAACTGTGAAGAACGAGCAGATGAGCCTGGATTTTGCGGAACATGACATATTCACTCCATATCTTTCAACTCTTCCAAGCTACATCAAACTTCCCAAGCCCTCGAACTATTCCAAGAAATGCCGGAAATACATTTACCATTGAACCAACCTACAAATTATTAAAGTCTCTTATTTTTCTCTGTATATAATCCAAGTGAGCGAGTATCAGCCAGTCGATACATTGCATTCTCTTGCAATATACTTAATTGTTATAAACATGTACATATATATACTCATATATATGTATACATATATAAGTATATATATTTTTTTACTGCTCATTGTCTGTCACTGCGTAATGTTTATTTTTAATTATATTTTTTTGTTGTTTTGTTTTTGCGCACATTGTTTTTCTTTGATTGTTGTTGTTGTTGCTGTCCATTTCGCTCAGTGTATTGCTCTTTGCTTTTTGTGGACGATTTGAGGGTGTAATAAACGTTAATGACGGTTGACCACAAAGAGAAATTGCGAACACTTTGTTTTTCGGCCACGTTCCTTTTGTCGCACATTTTCCCACAGAGCATTTCACTGATTAGCGCACTTTTTCTTACATTTCTGTCATCTCCTTTCCTTTCTTTCCGCTTTTCTCTCGTCGTTTGATTATTTTCTGTGTGGCAGCAGCAGCAGAGCATTAGATTTAATTGGTTCTATTTAATTGATGATTTGTTATCAGCTGTTTAGTGCTTAATTATTTGCATTACTTATGCCATTAGACGTAAATAGTCGGATAGATATATAGTTGGGTCGACAAAGGACAACAACGGCCAACTTTATCAAGCGTATCAGCCAAGTTTTGCAGGCAAAGCGGCTAAAAGCATTTAGCTTGAAAAAAATATAAAAATAGAATGCAGTCCAAAAAAAAAAAAAAAAAAAAAAAAAAAAAAAAAAAAAAAAAAAAAAAAAAAAAAAAACGAAGCGAAGCGAAGAAGTCGATGTTCGTCAGAGTTTAGCTTCCTTCCGCCTTTTTCGTTGGCAAAAGTTTTCGACCAAGCGAAAGTTAAGTATTTACAAAAGTAAAGCGGCTTTTAAAAATGTTCAAGCAACTTGGCTTGGCTTTTCGCTTAGCGACAAACTGACGCTCAGCAGTAGCAGCAACAACAACAACAACAACAATGAGGCACACATCAAGTCAAGATGATGTCGCTACATATTCATAATGCTGATTGTCGTTGTTGTCCCCGTTGTCAGCAGGCAGATTGAAAATTTATTCAAAAGTCTGGCAAGTCTGCAAGTGGCTGCTGCCACGCCCCTTCCGTCGCCTCGGCACCAGCCCCGTCCGACTCGCCCTGGGATAATAACTTTAACTTGAAAAGTAGCTCACAAGCAGCTTTGTATTGTAGTTTTTCCTTTTCTCTCTTTTCTTCCACTTCTTCACTTTTTTTTTCTGTGTATTATTTTCGTTTCATTTTTTCATATTTTTCCTCAACTGCTTTTCATTTCAGTGAATGTCAGCGCATTTTCACATAACTAAAGGAATGCCAGTTACAAATTTAACTGCCAGTTAAGCTCTCGAATATTGTAAATGCAAAAATACGAAATTAAAGGCAGCTTTAATTGCATGCAAATGTTGGTCAACAAATTGGGATTTTATTCGAAGTTGAATTGAAATGGGCTAATAAAACATTACATTAACGGAATACAAGGATGATATTTGGAATATGAGGATGATTTTAATTGCAATGATTATATTTATATATTTTTTAAAGAGGGGTTTTTTGTACAGGCTTAAGACGATATGGCGGATCATAAAAAATATATACAGGGCTGTCCATATATTGTGCCCGTCTCTGTAAAAATATTTAGGGTTATCAGAATCAACACCCAGCTAAACCTAGCATCGCCTATAAGCCTACTTTACAGTAATATCACCTACAACAACGAGAAACTCACAGAAATAAATCTTTAAAAAGGATTTATGAGTATTGGAGGAAAAGAAGTGAGATAAAAAGAAAATTTAATTTAATCTAGGTTTGGGGTGGGCTAACTACATATGCATGTAACAATTATTCGTACTCTTTTAGTCACTTCAGCGGTTGAGCCCCCATGTAACAATTATGTTGTATATAATAGTATATTTATTAATTAGATTGAGTATTTGTGATTGAAATTAACAGAGTATTGAGACTTTAACAGCTTTAGGACACTGTGACTGCTTGACTTCTAATGACCAGCGTGTACGTCTTTCTTCTTTTAATGTCTTCTTAACAGCTTGTCTCTACACGTCTTCATTCATGCACGCCTACTCAATCACTGACTTCGTCTTTTAATGGAGTTGCCACCCTGTTGTTATTGTGTAACTACATAGGATGCCACACCGCTCGACAACGTTTCTCATGCCACATTACATACATACCTGTTGACAGTTATTCATTATTGTTAATAAACATTCATATTGATGATGATATATTATAATAGCCCATACAAGTGCATATGAGTGAGGAACATGCGAGCAATGAGCATCAACTACAAGCAAATGCACGTGCAGAGCAAGGTAAGCCATTTGAGTTGAGGGTCTGCCGCACACACAGAGCCACAATATATTCCCACAGACACACACACATTTCTCCACACTCGCATTTAAAGTCATAAATTTTTATTTGTATGATTACTTAAGTTCTACGTGCGTAACAACGACTCCACCTATACCTGGGCTACCCCACAGCTCACGCACACACACACACACGCACATAGCGAAGCTGGCTTTAGTTAAGTGCATGATTATGCTTTTAGTGGCATGTTGAGGTTTTGTCAGACAGTTGTGTGCTCTCAGCTTTTCAGCTACCCCCAGCAGCAGCAGCAACAAGAACCAACTTACAACGGGTCATTATTTTTATACCCTGAACCCATTTTCAATGGGAAATCAGGGTATAATGGTTTTGTTGAAATGTATGTAACAGGGAGAAGGAGGCGTGGCAGACCCCACAAAGTATATATATTCTTGATCAGGGTGACGAGCTGAGTTGATTTGGCCCTGTCCGTCTGTCTGTCCGTCTGTCCGTCTGTCCGTCTGTCCGTCTGTCCGTATGTATGAACGCGTCGATTTCAGAAGATATAAGAGCTAGAGACTTCAATTTTTTTTAAAATGTCCGTAATTACAGCGCGCATATCAAGTTTATCATTAAAAATCGATAACTCATCTCGATCTTTTTTTATCGATAAAAAACCTTATCGAAACCCAGTTATAAAATTATATCTTCTACACCTTTATTGCTAGAGTCTCCAAATTTTTAATGTATGCTTATATGCAATTTATACAATTTCGGTTTTTGTTAAAATTTACCCCCCACCTCTAAATTCACCCCCTCACCCTCACTTTTGTAAAAAGCGTATTTCAAATACTAGAGACTTGTGCTTTGGCAATTACATGCATATTCATGTTATAATCATAATCTAAAAGTTTCATGAAGATCGTACGTCCATAAAAAAAGTTATTAAACAATTAAGTTCTCATAGTAAGCGCACACTGCAGCCCATGCGTGTTTATGCTTGTGTGTGTATATGTATGTAATTGTTTGTGTATGTGTGTGTGTGTGTGTGTGTGTGTGTGTATGTGTGTGTGTGTGTATGTATGTATGTGTGTGTATGTATGCCTGTGTGCATGCGTGCGTGTGTGTGTGTGTGTGTGTGTGTGCGTGTTTCTTGTGTAAGCTGAAAGACGCGAAAAATTATTGAAATAGCTATTACTCCAAGGGTTCAGGGGATCTCGTAGTCGAGCAGTCTCGAATAGAGCTTTCTTACTTGTTTTTATTGCAAATACTTGAAACTGACATTGACTGTGTATGTGTGTAGGTGTGAGTGTGTGAAACAGCTGTTCCACACACGTACTTATATTGCCACCAACAACTTGCCACGCCCCCTTTTCGGCGCCCCTCTGTGCACACGCACATCCTGTGCAAACGTGCGTGAATAGAAAATTCTCTTTGGGCTTTCCCGGCCTGGCCGCCTGTCGCGCTTCAAAAGTGCTTCATGTAAGATTTTCATTACACTTTTCCAGAGCTATTCCAAAATTCATAACGGTAACTGTCCTCAAGAGTTGAAGTACTCAGCATTTCCCACATATTCACTTTGTCAATATGCAAGTCAAGTTTATTATATATTAAATAAGTATATATATTTAAACAAATTTTGAAAGATTCGTTTTTTAATTGCCAGAGCTTATTTATGAATATGTTATGTAAATCTTGGTTATAAATTATAAATTAATGTAAGTAAATAAATGTGCTTCATATTAACTCATTAAAAAAAAGATTACGTTTTTTTTTAAAGGGTTTTTGCTTAGAAAAAGTGTATTATATACCTTATCAATATTTAATATTATTCTTTAAATACAATTTAAATATTTTTATTCAATATTTTGCAGATTTTTATATTTTATACCCTTTTATAACCCTTATATGACCTGTTTTAGAAGCATACCAAATACCATTAACCGGACCATTTCTCGGATCGACACCTTCAACACCTTCTTCCATTCGGCTTGACTCAGTTCATTTGATTAAGGTGCTGCTCGTCTGTTCATGTCATTCACGTGAGCTGGAAAGGTTCTTCGTCTGCAACACGTCGTCTGACCTCATTTAAGATTTTATATCCCACATATATTCTAATATTTTTGAAAAGTTTTTGCTGTAATCTTTTTTATTATTTCATAACAAAAAAATATAAATATTTAATCGTATTTTATATATATAAACTAACCTCTACGATCTATCTTAATCATCATTATTGTATACAACAATTACTGTATTAAATCAAATATTCAATCAATTAAAATCTACATTGCATTAATGCATATTTTAGATTCTATAAATACAATTCCGTTTTATTTCCGAATTGAATTGAATGCATCATGCAATTTATGTGAATACTATCAAATAAATTTTCGTCATAAAAAGCCAAAAAGCAAAAAAAAAAATAAAATGAATGATGATTGTCTGTGAAATACAAAGGCTGCAGTCGAGATCTTCTTTTAGTGCGCATAAAAAACCGCAGAAAAGTATGCTATCAATTTTGATAGGCATATGCTAAGGCTGAAGCCAAAGCCATAGCTAAAGCATAAAAATTCAACTAGATATACTTTGTTAGCCGAAACTCTTCGGCCATAAAATACGAGGCATAATGAATGGCAAACATAAAAAACTGCTCGAAGCTTATAAATTTTAATAAGCCATATGAAAATAGTGCAGCACAGAGAAAGAGATAGATAGCCAGAGCGAGAGAGAGAGAGAGAGATGGCAACTAGTTAAATGCACTGCTCTATATAGATACTATGTATATACATATATATATATATATATCTATATGTATAAATGGAGATAATTATGTAGCTGGCAAACAAGTTGAACATGAATTTAATAGGCAGAACAAACGGCGCGACAGCTGTGAGTTATGCGAACTATTTTGCGCCTGCCTGTGAAATAAAATAGTGCAAAATTCTGGTAAGAAATTAAAACATTTTTGCAACCAGCCAGACAGGCAGTGGCACAGACAGACGGACGGATGGACGAATGGACAGCTGGCAGACAACAACTGTGTGAGTCATGCGACGCGTTGTCGTCTGCGATGCTTTGCCAAAATAATAAAAAGTACAAGAGGAGTGGTTCAACTTGACTGGACGACTACTAAATACCCTAGAAATGAGTACATAGATATAAAATGAAGAGATATTATTTCCTATTAGATATATATTGCTCTATGAAAAACCCGCCTCACATCCAACTAAAGAAACTTACCTGTATAGAAAATAATATATAAGTATACAAGTTTATGTCGAAGATATTTTTATTTTAAACTAATATGCCCTTCACAAGCGAAGGGCAAGCAAAAGCAAAAGAAACATCAACATAAATTTTAGTCAAACAAAGCGTAACGCTCATGTATTCCTTTCTTCCTCTTGGTTTATTTTTTTTTATGCACCAAGTGCGAACTTCAACTTCAGTTGCGTTCCTCTTGTAAGGAGGAGGAGGGGCGGAAGGGTATCTCAAAGGGGCAGAAAGGGTAATGGCAAGTTTGTGCCATTGCCAAATGCCGAGCTGGCTGCGATTCTAATGTCGTTGTCGCTGCATGGCTAAAAATGTTGCGTTTTATAAGGCGTAAACACTCACAATGTGGCTGTGGTTACGCACACACACACACACACACACACACACACAGACAGAGAGACACAATCACAGTCCCATACAAGCACAAGTACATTTGTAATAAGTGAGTCGGAGTGAGATGGCGCAGGCTGGCTTTTTGGCTTGCCGCTGAAAAGAATGCAGCAAAAAAATCACAGCCCCATGAAAAGCCAACAACAAGAGCAACAAAAACTCATGCGTTCGGAATGCGTTCTCTGTGCAGCTGGGGTAGCGGCAATGATTGAGAGGGGGAGAGAGACGCAGAGAGGCAGAGCGAGAGCTAGCGGTTTGTCGAGACATAGCTGTAGTGGGGTCTAGTCTAGCCCACACTCTCGCACGTTTGCCTGCTCGCTGTCGCTCCCGCTCTCACTCTAGCGCGTTCCCTCTCTCTCCAGCTGTGGCGAAATGATGCGACAAAGTATCAAATGAGGTTGCCCCAAAGCAACTGCTGCTGCTGCTGCTGCTGCTGTTTACTGCAACATAAATCAAAATCAAAGGCAAAACAGAGAAACCTACACACTTGGGTCATACTCTCCAGTCTCGAAAGAGTTGCACAGCAAGCGTGCGAGTGCGAGAGGGACAGAGAGAGGCAGAGGGAACGAGCTAGCGTCTTGTGTGCCAAGTGTGGAACGGAAATGCAGGCATGTAAGTGAGATAGTTAGATATGTTGAAATAAACAAATTTGGCTTGCTGCATGCAATGCAAACCAAACAAATACAATAACAAAACCAAGTAGGTGGACAGCTCCAGCAGCGGCGCATAGCTCAATGTTTGCCATGCTGATAAATATGTGAGGATGTGGCACTTTTTAAGCTACTGCTGTATGGGGGAAAAATCTACAAGTAAATAGAAATAAATTGTATTTAGGCCAAATATGACAAACTAGCCTGAGAGGGAGAGATAGAGAGAGAGAGAGAGAGAGAGTGAGAGAGTGAGAGAGTGAGAGAGAGAGAGAGAGAGTGAGAGAGTGACAGAGAAGGGGGGGAGACGAAAGTGAAAACAATAAATCATGAATTTGTTTACCTAAAACCGTTTTTATTCTATATCAGTTTCAAATATGTATATATTTTTGATATGCCAAGAAATATATGTATAATGAAGAGTATTTCATATGAACTGTAAATAAATTTATTTTGAGTTGATGAAAAACAAAAAATGATATAAAAATGTTATTAAATCTTAATTTGATTAAATAACAAGTAAATTGTTAGCCTAAAAATAATTTTATTTTTATTGTGATAAATATATTTATATTATAAATGAAATGAAATGCTTTCTAAAAATAAAAACGGATAAACGTTTTTTTTTTTTTTTTTTTTTGTATTGTAATCCCCATAAACCCATAAAGTAATTATATTTTGGATAAGGATGATAAGCGTAAGGCCAGCCTTTGTGTGTTGCTTGTGTGTCTACATGAAAAGTAGGATAATTAAAATAACAACTCTGTGTATGGTTCATGGTATCTTCTTTCACTTAGAGCAGTCGTATTCGCCAATTGCGTAAAATTTCCTACACTAAACAGCGATATTTCAAAAACTCTCATTACCCACTATCCGACATTATGGTCTTTAATTCTATAGCTTCTCATTTGAAAGACAATGCGGCAGGCGTAATTTTAATTTGTAAGCCAACAAAATAAATAAATAATCGAGCAGCTAAATATACATACATAATTGTAATTTTCATGAAAATACTGAGAATACAAATGCTTTCCTGCTCTTTGGCAAAAAAGCTACAAGTAGACACAGAGTACTCACACACTCGCACAAGAACTCATATACACAGCTCACACTCACTCGCTCAGTCTTCCCACGCACTTTTATTAATAAATGCAGAGCAGAGGAGAAAAAATCATAGCATACTTAGGCACGCAATGTAAACGAGATGAAAAGTGAAAAGGCGACAAGCAGAGGAAAAACAATTTTGTGTCAAAATTTGAAATGAGCAAAAATAAAAGAAACAATACAAACGAAAAAAAAAAAAAAAAAAAAAACAAGCACTTGAGGCGCTCTCCGAATTGTGACAAATAAACATAAATAAACAAATTAAATGTGCGACACACTCTTGAGCAGAAAAGCAAAAGAAGAAGCAGAAGGTAAGCTAAGCCATTTGTGGAAATTTGAAAATTCGCACCTGTTTAGCTGTTTGGCTCAAATAAATATTTGATTAGGCAGCTGTGCAGGCACGAAAATGCGTTTCATATGACGGCTGCCACAAATGTAACCGAATATGTTGATGACTATTGGCCATATATGCATGCATGCATGTGTGTGTATGTGTGTGTGTGTGTGTGTGTGTTTGCTTAGTCATAACTGTGAGCTGAGCTGCCTTCTGGCTTTGCAGAAATAACATTGGGCATAAAGCGGCAACAGACGTCGGGGCGTATGCGCAATGCGATGCTTGAGTGAATGGCGACTAATGAATGGACTCGACATTCTAAACGTGAGTAGGCGAATGCTCCCCCTCCCTCTCTCTTCCTGTCTATCTCTATATATATCTGTGTGCGTATTTGGGTTTGCACATATTTTCAATTCCATTTGGCATGCACAACACAGCTGCTGCAAAAAGTACAACAACTAGCTTGTCTCGAACACCTTTCTCTTTTAAGGCAACAATTTTTTTTCAGCTCCTCCCATTTTTTTCTGTTTTTTTTTTCTGTTTGTTTTGTATGTCGTTTGCCTTTTGTCTATCAGATTGCGATTCAATTTCAATGTTTGTTTCTGACTTGCATTTATTTGTGTGGGTATGTGTGTGTGGGCATGTGGGTGTGTCTGTGTGAATGACTGAGAATTCGTTTATAAATAAATTGGCTTAGCAGTCGGTCGCTTGAAAGATAAACGATAGAGTAACGCATCAGAAGAAAATTCAATAATAGAGTCGAAATGAATGTGGAATTTTTAAATAAATAACTAATAAAATCATGCATAAATATGCAGTTCAAGTGCTAATATAAAAATAATACTAAGCAGACATTCAAGTAGATCTAAAATTAGGTTAAGCTAAAGATCATATTTGGTGGGAATAATAAGAGCTTTGTATTCTCTCTTGCGAATGAAATTTTATATAATATTTTAATAGAAATAATCATTTAATATAAATATTTCCGTTTTCTATGCTTATATTAATTTTATTTTAATATAAATATATTCTTTTTTACAACAATCTTTTTACTATTATCCACATTAATTTAATGATCCCTGACATTATATACCTAACATATTTATTTAATATATAAGCACATATTTTGTTACATTTTCATAATTACTAACATTTCAATTATTATTATGCTGGAATATATTATATTATTTGATATTAATAACAAGCAATTGTGTTATATACCCTGCCTCTCACATTCTCAATACACTTCTGCATAATAAGCGCGTGTGTGGGTGTGTCCGACAATGTTTGTGTATAAGTGTATGTGTGCCACAGTGGTCAAATTCAGACAAAATGTTTACTATGCAAATCGAATGACAAGAGCCAAGGGGCAGCTGAAATAACGAGCACCGAGTAAACAAAAAAAGATTACGAGACAAGGAAATGGCCGACTGGGGTATACCCTACCCATAATCCGAACTTTATGCTGACAGAGAAGACTAAATGTAATAATCTGAATAAGCAGCTGAAGTCAGTTGGTAAAGACTTCAAATTTGATATTAAATGTTCGATGGAAAATGAGATGGAGGACAGACAGACGGACAACGCTAGCTTTACTCTGCTCGCTGATCATGCTGATCATGAATCAAGAATATATCGTTTATTTCCTGTTACATTTGCTAATGATATGCTTCTGCCTCCTTTTGCCTGTTACATATGCTTTAACAAAGTCAATATACCCTGAATTGCAATTTTCAATGCGTTCAGGGCACAAAAACAAAATGCAAAAGCATTAATTAATATTCAAGTGAGCAGCTGTTTTTCTACCTACCTCACTCTCTCTGCCTATCTCTCTCTCTCTCTCTCTCTCTCTCTCTGTCTCTCTCTCTCTCTTTCTTCGTCCCTTTTCATATGCGCCTCCCTTTTGTTATTTAATTTCAAGCAGGCAACATAAATGTGAAATAGCGGGAGTGGGACAGGGACACGGAGAGAGTGTGAGAGAGAGAGAGAGTTTCTCGGGGGAAACTTATCAGTGTCAACGTTGTGCCAATAAAAACTATACCAGCATGCAAATATGTCCACAATCAAACAAATAGCTGCTAACAGCAGCAGCAGCAGCACAATACAAGCAAGCCCGAGATGTTGGCCAACAAATTCTGAGGATCCCCACAGGACGAGCAACAACAACAACAACAAGAGCAGCACAAATGGAACATGCATAAGGCATGCGGAAATAATGGTAAAGAGCAAAGCGACAACCAACAAAGAAAAAGGCGCAGCACAGAAAGTGAAGCGCTCCAAGCTGAAGAAGAAGAAGAAGCAGCAGCAGCAGCAGCAGCAGCAGCTGCCTCACGTTTTCCTGTTTCGCCACAGGACAACGGCATAAGAGGACACACAACAGGCAGCAGGCAAGTTTGCTCTTCCTTAATACTGTGTACAGTGTGCGAAATGGGTATATTGATTCAATGATGAATTTCAGATCATGCATTATTCTATTCGATTTCGCTTTATATTACCTCCCTCTCGTTCTGAGCTTCTGAGGCTTCGGTTCCTTTCGATTTTGAGTTGAGCCAGGCCAATGCATGCAGCTGGATCTCTGAGCTCCACCTCGAACTCCAGGCTAGTGTAAGGCGTGGGGTCTCAGCTGCTGACTTCCACTCGAATTCTAGCCATCAATGAGCGCCTGCAATGTGATCTTAACTACAGATCTTCGCTCGCAAAGTCAATCAATTTGAAGCAATTTAATATTATAAATAATGCTATCAAGCAGAAGGCGCCAGTGCCAAACTCTAAGTTAGTTTTAAACTCCAATGCTTAATAAATAAATATGCAGATAAAAAAATGTTTTCTACAATAGCAAATAAATAAAAAAATAAATAAAACAATGCTATATTCGAAAATAGTAAATATCGGTCACATTAACCTTGAGGACCTTAAAGGGAGATAGAGAATTCCTTTCTGTTAATGCCAGATTCCACTAACAGGAATCGCGCAAGGAACCCACTAGAGCATATATGAAAATATTCAAAAATTCATTAGCTAGGCAATGGAGCCTACATGAACAATTCTGATCAATTTTTCTCTCTGGCTCATGAGCTAGTTCATTAGCTCATTCTAATGAGTCCATTAATGCAGCCACAAAGCTGTTGCACAAAATCTCTTTCTATATACATAAATAACTAAAATCTCTTCATAGAGAGTTCACTCGCAGCTCAGTAGTGCCTGAAGAGAGTATTACGTAGTCGTCTATAATTTTTTAAGCAAGATTTGTTCTCTTTCGCTATTCACTGTTCGCTCTTCGGATTCGTTCACTTTCCGCTTTCACTTGAGCATTGGCTTTGATTTACCCCAGCTGCAGTTCCTGCCTCGCCCTACCGCTTCCTCCCCGCTCTGGCTCTGGCCTCCTGCTATGCCATTCCCATTGCTGCAGACGCGACTAAAAAGCACAACAACAAATTTGCATAGCTCAGTGCAATTTTGCATTCTTTGTTTGTTTCAACTACAACAACAAAAGGAACAACATTAAGCACAAAATTCCCTCGTTCATTTCAGCTTTGTATTTTTTTCAGTATTTTTTTTTTTTTTTTTTCTTGTTGCGCCAACTTTCATACGCCATGTGGGACGCACTTTGTGCCCGGCTCTGTCGAAGCAAAGTCAGCCGAGAGAGACGACAGCGAAATACAAGTCGAAAGTAAAGTAGAAAGTCGAAAGTCGAAAGTTTTTCTCTCGGTAACCCCCAGATGACCCACTGCTATTCTCCAGCAACTACTTAAATGTAGCAGCTACTTTCCATTTTTATTCGACTGCGTTTATTTGCCACAGGGCGCAGCTTATGCATATTATTAGACAGATCGTCACATTAAATACATTTGTAACAATTGTTGTTGTTGTTTTCCTTCTTTTCTTTCATTGCTCAACTTATTTTCAATTGTTTTCGTTGGCGAACAATTGAATTTTCATTTGAAAGTGCTTTGCATTTATGTGTATAAATTATTAACAATAAATTATAAAAATTTTATTTAAGCATTCTCCGCTTTTTTTTTTTTGAAGGGAATAATAAATGTTTCAATTCATTTAGAAATTTGTTCAAGTATGGGGTATTTATTAAGATAAGGTTGACTCCAAGGGAAAGACTTTCCGGTCTTCACCCATCTCAAGGCAGAGGCTACGTTGCCTATCTACATATATTGATGTACATTTTCCTGAGTCACTTGATTAAATATATTATTTACTTTAAATTTGATTTGTTTTTCATATCACAATTTGCATAGTTTTCTTCGTTTTATTTTTGATAATTCAATTAGGTATTTGCTGCCTTTATAGCATAATTCATATAAATTGTGTTGTATTAAATGGCAGCTTATCAAATAGTTTCATCCTTGGCGGGACTCATAAAAATTCCAAAACAACTTCTCATTTGACCCGGTCTAGCAGGCAAGGACTTTCGAAATTGAGTGCCACGCCCATGCACATCGCCTCACGCGCCAGCCGCCCACGTTCTCTCTTAAATAACTTCATTTCACTTAACCTAGTCAAAAATGCTGCTTGACGCGGCTCGCAACTTGAAAGCCATAAAAGCCGCAACAAAGGCCAGGAATGCACAGATCCTCAGCATGCCCTCCTGCCACCCCCCACTCTCACGCACCACAACTCCAGCTCTATCGCCATGGCAGAACCTAACTAGCAAGCACCTACGCAGCTTATGCAAAACTTACGCATTTCGCATGCCTCGACTCTGTGGAGGGGGCGTTGGGGGCGTTGTTCTTGATAAACTATAAGCCACAAATTTGCATGAGGTAAAACGCCTGGCCGCCCACCGACTACAAATTGCCATTAAATGCAGCAAGCGCTGGGCGTGGGCGTGGGCGTGGGCGTGGCAAATAGCGAACCAGCACCGGCTGTAAACGAATCTATGTACTGTCCCTGTACTTAGCTCCTGCTCTACCTGAGTTCTAGCTGTAACAAAAACTGACACCAGTTGCTGGCGGCTCAGCGAAGACGAAGTGGCGGGTCGACGGGCGAAGGGCGAAGGGCGGTGAATGGGTGGGGTGGGGGTGCTCCACACTTTGTTGCAACAATTTGCGCGCCGCCCGAGGCGTGAGCAGCAAGGATGTGAGCAACAGGAGCGACAGGATGAGCAACAGCAGCAATGGAGGCAGTGGAGCCAATGGAGGCATTGCTGCTTCATTGCATTTAATTCATTTTTATTGCAAAAGCTTACAGACAGATAGAGCCACAGGATAGGATGGAACAGGACAGGACAGGACAGGACGGGACAGGACGGGACAGGACGGGACAGGACAGGACAGGACAGGACAGGAAGCCACTTGCCGCCGTGGCCTGCTCTTTAAAATTATATTGGCGAAATTTTATGCAGTTGCAGCCACTCTTCCTGCTGCTGCTGCTGCTGCTGCTTAGCCAAGAGCCTGTCGTAGCAGTGGAGCTCAGCTCAGCTCAGACCAGACCAGACCAGCCCCCACCCACCCACATTCCATGCAAAAGTTTTTACAAAGTAGCTGCGGCAACAGCTGCTGCAAGTTTGAACAGCAAAAAGGACTGAGCAGACACAAAGCGCAGGACCCAAGGACCCAAGACCTGGTTGAATGAGGCATTTTGATGAAGCTGCTCCATATTGGTTGCTCGGCTTGTCTGCTGGCTGTTGGCTGTTGGCTTCTTGCTGGAGCACTGGCAACATAATTTAAATAGCATGTAAATTAGACGGAAGTCTAAAATGAGTGCATAATGTCTGCTAAAACTGTTTTAAGTGATTGTAATTTAGGATAAGTTGCGAGCACCTCGAAATCTTAGCCCACTTTCGCCCAACTTGGCCATAATTTTCATCTGAACTTCGCTCGCAAAGTTAAGTGCGCCATTTAAGCGTCGAGCTGCTGCCTACGCTGTGGAATTGCCCGAGCGAGTGAGTGAGACAGCGAGAGATAGAGAGACAGGGAGAATGGTAGCTATTTAGCAGTCGGCATAGTAAATAATGTATAATGTAATGTATAATAATAGCAAACATTATTTTTAATTGAAATGTAGCCCCACTGTCCCGCATGCCAAAAAGCATATAGAGCAGCTTCACCGCTACCTCAAGACAAACACAATCCACAGTTGGCAGAGAGCAGCCCGATTTATGAGTAACTGCAAAAATTTAACACTCACACACGCATGTGCGTGTCATTACGTTGGGTTCAAAATTTGAGTTTTTGCAGAATTATTCTATATGTGAAAGAGCAAGAGAGACAACTATAACATCAGGATGATTAAGACACTGCAGTGCACTGTTCTAACAGTTGAGCTGAGAGCGCGTGCACACATGCACATCGACTGTGCATGCACACACACATGCATTTATATATGTAGCTGGTTGAGAGTGGTCGTGGTATCGCCATCTCGCTCGTGCGCATGCGTTTTATTCTTTTTTTTTTGGTTGGCGATCGAGCGTACTATTATATATGTATGAATGTGTTGCAGACCCACTCATTGGCTGGAGCTATTTGAGTAGCTAATCTTAAATTGTTATTGCATTGGCATCTGTGCAAAGAGATGTCGCACTCTCTCAGTTAAACACTTAGTATCACTCAATCGTGGCGAACGCACAGCAGAATTCCTTTTTTTTTTCAATTTTCTGTTTTCAGCTCTGTATTTTAATTAGGAAATATTCTGTATACTATAATTAATAATCTATTCTTTTATCTATTTATACTTTTTTCATTTAAATTACTATGTATGAACGTAACATAAGTATGAGGGGCAAAAGAAAAAGTCCCATATGTATAAACTTAACTTAACAACGCATACTTTAGAATGAAGATCTTTTAATTAGTTTAGTTGAGCCTATCGAATTTTTCAAGCCGTCAAATGCATTCAGTTCATGGTTGTCATTTTCCTTTTTTTTTAATTCATTCGATGTGGAAGAAAAAGTTCAATGGCTTTTTCTTTTCAAATATCCTTAGGTGAAACCAATTGCAATGGAAACGTAACAACAGTCTGAAGCAGTGGTGGAAAGGTAAAAATGTCGAAGATATTGGAAAATCGACCAGAACCCGAAAGCTAAAAGCATTGGGCAGAAACAAAGCGAAAGGTGAATGAAGTGAGACTAAGGCAGAGTGAAGTGAAAAGTGTTAAAGCCGAAGCAAATCCGCAGAGCCGCAGACTTTGAGCCAAGACTTAGTTAACGTAATGCTTCGGTGGCCTATTCGCAATTTGGACATTGCCTTTCCTTTTTTGTAAAAAAGCTTTTGGATCAGACGGTCTCAGTATGGCATCTGGCAAAAAGGATACGAAAAAAAGGATATCGCCTAAAGAGAACGGAATATAAATTTACTGCAAGTTTTTCTTTTTCTTTCAGTGACTTGAAACTGCTTGCCAATTGAAGTTTCCAAGCGACATTTTTCGTCGATGTTGTTGCAGTTGTTGTCTTTGCTTCACGAGTTGCTGCAGATGCGGAGGCCGCACGCAAATAAACTAAACTGCACCTGGCACAACCCGAGCCGAGTCTTTACTCATCTTAGATGAGCCCCGATTATGGCAACAATTGAGAGCATGCTCGTCAGCCCACTTTTGACCCCACAGTAACGACCCATTCTTAATCTATCAATAATATTATTCCCTGTTACGCCATGGCCCCAAGTAGTTGGCCAAACAGCTTGATTGGCTCTACAGTCACCGCCGTCATGCACCGTAATGCCGGGGAAAGTTTGGCGACGGCACCTGTGAACTCCATCAACTGCACTCAACGAGCTTGCATGATAATTACCGAGCTCTGGCTAAGATATTACAAAATGTTAAGCCAAACTTTAATTCATTTTCGCAATAGTAATATAATTTGTACAATCTTAAAATGGTTTTGTTAAGACATATGTAACAGGCAGAAGGTATATATTATCTAGATCAGGGTTATTTGACAAACAAACAAAACATGCTGTTCGATTATGAATCCATATAAATTCATTGTTCATTAAAAGATTATTAAAAGACATATTTAAACTACATTTATTTACATTTCTAACTTTCTGCTATGCACCCCCACTTACTGAGAGCATACTCAGACCTACACATATTGCCACAAGTATCCCTTGCAACGGCATAATATCAAGCATGCAAAGCAATGCCCATTTATATCGTCTGAATGGTTAGCAATCGCGTGAGAGCGACCGCCTGTATCACCTCTGCATACCACACCAAATAAAGTACCTAGGATACAAATGCATACAATAAAACAAAACATTTTCTATTGTGGGAAAGAAGTGCGCAGTTACCAACTATTTTTTTTTGTTTGCGGTTTGTCAAATGTGGACAATCTACACATCCTGCTTCACCAGTTACACCTGTAGAATTGAATTTGTAGTCATTCGAGACCAAAAATGTATGTTTTATTTGCTTTATTTCTTCTTTATAGTGACTTTCTGGAAACTAAATAAAGAAACGTCACGCTCGAATATATAAAAATTAAAATTGAAATTTTGAGTCCAGCCATCACTAATTTTTTTTTTTAAATGCTTGTCATAAGGCATGAAAATGAGTCAAAAATTTGGAAGCTGTTGGCTTAGATTTGTAAGTATCTCAAGTAGATATTTAGACGTTCAGATTGTCCTGATCGTGCGATTTTATACATTAAACGAATAAAATATAGAAATAAAAATACAGCTTCTAAAATCAATAATAGTATTTCATTCATTTGTTTACAAATAAAACAAGGAACAAAGCTCTTGTCGAGACTGCTCGACATCGAGATCACCTGAACCCTTCGAACAATCATTTTTCGCGTATTTCGAACAATCATTTTTCGCGTATTTATATTTTTGCAATTGTAATATAATTTGTATAATTTTCAAGTCATCTTAAAATGGTTTTGTTAAGACGTATGTAACAGGAAGAAGGTATATATTATCTAGATCAGGGTTGTTTGACAAACATTCTATTCGATTATTTATTAGAAATTCACTGTTGATTTAAAAGAAACATATTAACATATTTGAAATTTATTAAGCACCACTTGAGCTACTTTTCTTTTCATTTCTAGCTTTCAGCTATGCACCCCCACTTACTGAGTAGCAGATGAGTATAGTCCACAAATTGCTGTTAAGAAACTGTTATACCAGAATGTAAAATGCTGCTAGACATATGGCTACAAGTATAGCGGTTTCTCTTAGAACAGTTCCCTTGCAACGGCACATTATCTGGCACATTAAGCAATATGTAGCTTCGTCATACATTAAAACTGATTTCGATGCAATCGTGTGACAGATGCCGTCTGACCCACCACTGCATACAACACCATGTAAAGTACCTAAAATACAAATGCATACAATAAAACAAACTTCTAATATGGGAATGAAATGCGCAGTTACCGTTTACTTTTTTGTTTGGGCCAAGACATACATCCAATTCTGGGTTAGCAGGATCACTTGCTGTTTTGGCAATTATAGTTGGCTTATCTTCGTACTCAGAGATTATTAAAGAATTTGCAGGAGTCTTGCATTTTTTCAAATGTTTGCAATTTAAACAGTTTGCTTCACTGTTTACATCTGTAAAGTTTAAATTGTAGTCATGCGAGACCAAAAATGTACATATTTTATTTGCTTTATTTCTTCTTTATAGTGACTTACTGGGAATTAAATAAAGAAACGTCAAGCTCGAATATATGAAAATTAAAATTGAAATTTTGAGTACAGCCATCATAAAATTTGTTAACAATGTCCAATGAGAAAACAACTGAGAATGAGTCAAAAATTTGGAGTTCAAATTCTCTTCTAAATATTTTTGAACAGTTTGCTTAGATTTTTAAGTATTTCATTAAACCAATAAAATATAGAAATAAAAATACAGTTATTAAAATCAATATGTAAATAGTATTTCATTTATGCTTACAAATAAAAAAATGTCTTATGGTTATTGTAGATATATGAATGTTTATAACATATAATTATTTATTTACTTATAATATACTAGCTGGCCCGGCAAACGTTACATTGCCCTATCCATTATTTCTAGGTAAAAAATTGTTGAAAGCTATGTTGTTCAGGTTGGGATACACTCTGATTAATTTATTAATCGGATTTTCATTCAAGCACCTTGTGGTAAACGACATTCTTCGTTTTTTGGTCGGGTGCAAGAACAAATAATTCGGATGGTTTGCCAACACGTGAGCATGCCACGTACAATTGACCATGAGAAAAACACGCATTTTCTAGATTGAGGCCACAAATAGTCAAAGATTGGCCCTGTGATTTGTTGATCGTCATGGCGAAGGCAAGACGAAGCGGGAATTGAATTCGTTTAAATTCAAAGAGCATATCTGTTGAGATCATCGGAATCCTAGGAATAAGAACTTCATCTTTAAATTTTCCTTTGAGTATCGACGCGTGAATCACATTGCTCATCAGTTTTCTTATCACCAAACGCGTTCCATTGCACAGTTTTGGTTGCTTTAAATTTCTAAGCATGCAAATCTTGGAGAATTGCTCTTTTCATAGCTGTGTTGATTTCTTGACGCCGGTCAAGTTGTTCTTCCATGTTGCCCATGAAGTATATTTGCAAGAATTTGTGCTGTGCATCTTCAATAGGTTGCAATGATTCAATGCGATGGCAAATCTGGCCTTGAATCTTTAAATTCAAAGCCATAGTTATAGTTAGATTTACAAACACTTTTTACAAAAATCTAACAAACTACATTATTCCAAATATTTTTATTATTATTTTTTTTTTTACAATCACAGAAAATAAAATTTTTAACGTAAATTACCTTAAATGTCGGATTATATCCGTCTCCAATAATTTCAACCCCAAATGTCATTTGGAAACAGGCATTGTATTTTTGAGTGTTCGCTAGAAAATGTCGTGATTCTAGTGTTTCGCCATAAAGCAGGGAACGCAATGGCTCTGGTGGCGGTACCACTAATGGCAATGTAACTTTACCACTAAGGCAGCACAAACCGGGCGTTTCACCAGCAAACTTCAATGCGCCACAATGCTGGTAAACAACGTCCATTGGACCAATGCAAACTAAACGATTCAAGCTATAGTCAATGGTGCAATCATATCGAAACGCTTCTCGATTCAAATCAATCCTTGAACCATTTCTTATTGCCGTTTCACGGGCTGCCTCTCTTTGAGAAGCACGAATTAAGGCCCTTCTTTGCTGGGTACTAACGTGGCGCCTTTCTCGGGCAATTTCTCGTTCTTCGTCAGATAATTGATGCCTAATTGCATTATGGGTCCGCCGGGAAAGATTAGATCTTCTAGGACGCGGCATTTTTATTAATAGTAATACTGCCCTCGCACAAAACCACATTAAACAATCGAGAAATATGAATATAAATAATTTACACAAATTTATGTTTGAGACAAACAAATAAATACTATTGTATAATATGAGAGCAGGACCGAAAACTGACACTGTTATCAAGCCTACTGAGTATCAATGGAAATTTGAATCTTTAGGGAAAAAACCGCGTTTTTCAAGTATTCGTCAAATTTTTTCAGCATTTTTAAGATCTACTATCCTACTCGTGGCGGAGACAAATCCAACAAATCAAAAACTATGAAAATTGGTCCAGCACATATCAAGTTATAAGTCACGGTACACTTTTACACAACTCTCTTTTATATATATAATAGAATATAGAAGAAGAAGATATATATATATATATATATATATATCTTTATTTTTGTTTTTTTTTTTTTCCATTACACTATTACATAGTTATTAACTCCCTCGCCGTCTTGCTCTTCGGCTTAGATTTTTTTTTTTATATAGCCCTAACCTCTGCATATATGTATGTACATGTGGCCTTTGCTGGCCCAGAGGTTAGGAGTATAATATGGGCTGCAAAATACAAAAACCGAACTTAGTCTCTGGAAACTAAGATTGATTAATTTTGCTAATTTGCCAATATTTACCTGCGATTGCCTGGTCGCGCACTTCTTTTTGCCCACGGCAATTAAACGCGTGCGACTGCGCACATAAATGTCATTGACTGACCAGCTGGTGACAATGGGCCAGATTCGACAATGTAGTTTGTTTTTTTGTATGCCACAAAAAAAGATTTTTGATGAAAAAATTTGCATTAGATAGATATAAAAAATTTTAGAACACCACGCCGTGGGTGGTTTCTATGGAATGTAGGCCGGAAAAGGCTGAGCTGGCAATGTGGCCGCGTTTTATATGCCCACATTCCAGTGTTCTTCTGCTCATTTGTTTCGCTCTCAGCGATGCTTCGGGCAGCGGGATGCAATATAGCGGATTTCTCCCACTGTCTCCGCTAAAGCTCCGCTCTCTCTCTCTCTCTCTCTCTCTCTCTCTCTTGCATTGCAGCGCAGGCGACAATGTTATCGCAAACGATATGCGCTGCAATTTGCAATCTTAGAAATTCGCGACCATTACAAACTTCACTGTTCGTTTAAAAGAAACATATTTACATATTTAAAATTGATTAAGCACCGTTTGAACTACATTTATTTACATTTCAGCTATGCACCCCAATTTACTGAGAGCTCTAGACTCAGTGATAAATAATTATAAGAAGGTGTTATACCAGTATGTAAAATGCACTAGACATATTGGTACAAATATAGCGGCTTCTCGTAGAACACTTCCCTTGCTTTCCTTGCTTCCATTGCTTCCATTGCGTCTACCACTACAAGGGCACATTTCCTGGCACATCGCGCAATGTAGATTAAGAGTACGCATATTATTTGTTGCCATTGCAATCGCGTGACAGTAACCGTCTGTCCCACCACTGCATATAACATTTGTTAAAGTGCCTAAAATATAAACAATAAAATAAAAATTTTCTAATATGGGAAAGAAATGCGCAGTTACCAGATATTTTTTTCTTAGGTCCAAGACAAACATCCATTTTTCCGTCAGCAGGATCATTTGCTGCTTTGTCAACTAGTTTAGACTCATCGGCACTCTCAGCGAACGCTACAAAGTCTGCGGGAACTTTGCAGTCTTTCAAAGCTTTGCAATTTAAACATACTGCTCTATCATATTTAGCTGTAAAATTATATATATATATATATATATCTATATTATAAGGATTTTTTTTTTGTGTTTAGTTCATTGTGGCAACATTTTATTTGTTGGTTTTTCATATACATATATATACTTCACATGTTTTTTTATATATATATATATATATATATATATATTTAAATATAATTTGTATAACTTTCAGGCAAATCATCTTAAAACAAGTAAGAAGACTGTAGTCGAGACTGCTCGACTAGGAGATACCCTGAACCCTCTAATCTGATATACTAATCACTCTTCACTTCTTTTCGGCACACATACATACACACGCACGTATTATAACGAGCTCTGCTAACTGCGCAGTAAGCAGCGACTGCGCTTGGGCTGCGCTGCAGTGTGGGCAACATTATAAGAATTTATTTGTTGAATAATTTAATTTCTAGACGTACAATCTTAATGAAACTTTCAGAACATAATCATAATATTCAAAAGTATGTACATTCCAAAGCACAAGGTGATGGTGAGGGGGTGGAAAAAAAGGTGGGGGGTAAATTACAACGAACATCGAAATTATATAAAATGCATATAAGTATACATAAAAAATTTGGAGAGTCTAGCTCTAAAGGTGTAGGAGATATAATTAAATAACTAGCTTTCGATAAGGTTTTTGATCGATAATAAAATATCGGAAGTAGTTATCGAGAGAAAAACTTGATATGTGCGTGATATACACGGCCATAGGAAAAAAATTCTTGTACGGACGGACGTACGGACAGACGGACAGGGACAAATCGACTTAGCTCGTCGAACTGATCTAGAATGATATTGTTCAAATGTATGTTACAGGTAGAAGGTATGTATTACCCAGATCAGGGTTGTTTGACAAACATGTTCGATTATTGCTTAGAATTTCACTGTTCATGCAATGGAAATATATTATATACATATTTGAGATTCATTAAGCTCCGTTTGAACTACATTTATAAATATTTCTAGCTTTCAGCTATGCACCCCACTTACTGAGAGTACTATACTAACTATTAGATAATTATAAGAATCTGTTACCATAATGTAAAATGCTGGTAGACATATTGCTACAAGTAAAGCGGATTCTCTTAGAACAGTTCCCTTGTTGAAATTACCATTGCAAGGGCACTTTACCCAGCACCCACGGCAACTAGTATCATCATGCGCTAGATTGCTTTTCGAAATAATCGGGCGACAGAGACCGTCTGTCCCACCACTGCATATAGCTCCTTTTATAATACCTAAAATATAAATGCATACAATTAAACTAAACATTTTCTATTATGGGAAAGAAATGTGCAGTTACCAGATATTTTTTTTTTGGGGCTAAGACAATCATCCAATTCTTCGTCAGCAGGATCACTTGCTCTTTTGTCAATTACACGATGTTCATCTTCAAAATCAGCGTACGATAAAAAACCGACAGGAACTGAACATTTTCGAAAACTTTCGCAATTTAGACATACTGCATCACCAGCCATCACATCTGTAATTGAAGTTGTAGTCATTCGAGAACAAAAATATATTTGTTTTATTTGCTTTATTTTTATACCCTGAACCCATATTCAATGGGAAATCAGGGTATAATAGTTTTGTTAACAGGCAGAAGGAGGAGTGGCAGACCCCATAAAGTATATATACTCTTGATCAGGGCGACGAGCTGAGTCGATTTAGCTCTGTTCGTCTGTCCGTATGTTTGAACGCGTCGATCTCAGAAGATATAAGAGCTAGAGACTTGAAAATTTTTTTCCTAGGTCCGTGTACAGCACGGACGATAAGCTGCCCCGTTATTTTGTTATCGATTAAAAACATTATCGAAAGCCAGTAATAAATTTATATCTCCTACATCTTTAAAGCTATTGCTCGAAGGGTTCAGGGGATCTCGTAGTCGGGTAGTCTCGACTAGAGCTTCCTTACTTGTTTACTTACTAGGAACTAAATAAAGGAACTTCAGGCTCGAATATATGAAAATTAAAATTGAAATTTTGAGTACAGCCATCATAACATTTGTTAACAATGTCCAATGAGAAAACTACTGAGAATGAGTCAAAAATTTGGAGTTCAAATTCTCTTTTAAATATTTTTGAACAGTTTGCTTAGATTTTTAAGTATTTCAAGTGGTTATTTTCTATACGTTCAGATTGTCGTAATCGTGCGATTTTATACATTAAACCAAAAAAATATAGAAATAAAAATACAGTTATTAAAATCAATATGTAAATAGTATTTCATTTATGCTTACAAATAAAAAAATGTCTTATGGTTATTGTAGATATATGAAAGCTTATAACATATAATTATTTATTTGCTTATAATATATTAATATTGTATTATTTTATTAATATTTTAATTTTAATTTTAATTATATATATATATATATATATATATATATATATATATATATATATATATATATATATATATATTGGGATTTTTTTTTTTTTTGTGTCTATTGAATAATTTAATTTAACGAAAAATCTTGACTTGCTATTTGGGAAAGATCATTGTGGCAAAATTTTATTTGTTGGTTTTTCATATACATATATATACTTGACTAAAGTCTTCTTACTTGTTCTTATATCTATTTAAATATAATTTGTATGTATAACTTTCAGGCAAATCATCTTAAAATGATATTGTTCAAATGTATGTTACAGGTAGAAGGTATGTATTACCCAGATCAGGGTTGTTTGACAAACATGTTCGATTATTGCTTAGAATTTCACTGTTCATGCAATGGAAATATATTATATACATATTTGAGATTCATTAAGCTCCGTTTGAACTACATTTATTAATATTTCTAGCTTTCAGCTATGCACCCCACTTACTGAGAGTACTATGCTAGATAATTATAAGAATTTGTTACCATAATGTAAAATGCTGGTAGACATATTGCTACAAGTAAAGCGGATTCTCTTAGAACAGTTCCCTTGTTGAAATTACCATTGTAAGGGCACCTTAACCAGCACCCACGGCAACTACTATATTCATGCGCTAGACTGCTTTTCGAAATAATCGGGCGACAGAGACCGTCTGTCCCACCACTGCATATAACTCCTTTTATAATACCTAAAATATAAATGCATACAATTAAACTAAACATTTTCTATTATGGGAAAGAAATGTGCAGTTACCAGATATTTATTTTTGGGGCTAAGACCATCCAATTCTTCGTCAGCAGGATCACTTGCTGTTTTGTCAATTACACGATGATGATCTTCAAAATCAGCGTACGATAAAAGACCGACAGGAACTGAACATTTTCGCCAACCTTCGCATTTTATACATACGGCATCACCAGCCGTCACATCTGTAATTGAAGTTGTAGTCATTCGAGAACAAAAGTATATTTGTTTTATTTGCTTTATTGTTTACTTACTGGGAACTAAATAAAGATTCGTCAGGCTCGAATATATGAAAATTAAAATTTAAATTTTTGTCCAGCTGTCATACAATTTTTTAACAATGTCCAATAAGAAAAAAACTTAGAATGAGTCAAAAATTTTGACTTCATTTTCTTTTCTGAATACTTTTGAACAGTTTACTAAAATTTGCAAGGATTTTAAGTAGATATTTATACCTTCAGATTGTTCTGATCGTGCGATTTTATACTATTTTTTACTATATTTTTTATGAGCCAAATGAGGGTGGGATGGGGCTACGAAAACAAGGTTGCACTACGTTGCTCTTATAGAGACCTGGTATTTCAAGTTAACACACAGCCTCAACGATCGGCCTACTGGATAGCGATTGAGCTGCCGACCAATCGTGAACTAACGTGTGCAGGGGCCCTAGATGAATAGAAAAATGGAACTGACTAAATGAAATCTTCGACCGACCTCGGACTTTGAAGAAACATACGATTTTGGAAATGTTTGCTCCTGGGCTGACAGGTGCTGCATTCTAGGACCTCAGTGAGCGGAAATGACATCCTGCGGAAGTGGCTCTTAGGCTAATGCTGCAGCTGCTCGCGTCCCCTTAAAACCATGGCAGGCCTCCAAGTACGTTTGAGGATCATCACTTACTGCATTTTCGGTGGTGGCACAGGCTTAAGTTGATACACATCCTTAATTTGTGCAAGATCCTGGCTTTAAGCATTGGCTCCCATATCGACCAGCGTCAACCTTCGCTTCGCCTCCCAGCTATGCACAGATAACCATGAGGATCGCTTGAGTGACTGTACATCCGATCTGAGATAGTGGCTTGGAGTCGGGACCCCTAAACATGTATTTTACAGGTATATATTATCTAGATCAGGGTTGTTTGACAATCATGATGTTCGACTATTGATTAGAAATTCACTGTTCGTTTAAAAGAAACATATTTACATATTTAAAATTGATTAAGCACCGTTTGAACTTCATTTATTTACATTTCAGCTATGCACCCCAATTTACTGAGAGCTCTAGACTCAGTCATAAATAATGATAAGAATGTATTATACCAGTATGTAAAATGTTGCTAGACATATTGGTACAAATATAGCGGTTTCTCTAGCTCTAGTTCCCTTGCTGCGTCTACCTTCACAAGGGCACCTTCTCTGGCACATTGCGCAATATAGTTGACGAGTAAACTTATCAGATCCTGGATTTGCAATCGCGTGACAGTAACCGTCTGTCCCACCACTGCATATATAAGTTGTTAAAGTGCCTAAAATATAAGCAATAAAATAAAAATTTTCTAATATGGGAGAGAAATGCGCAGTTACCAGATATTTTTTTCTTAGGTCCAAGACAAACATCCATTTTTACGTCAGCTGGATCATCTGCTGCTTTGTCAACTAGTTTAGACTCTTCGTCGCCCTTAGCGTACGCTACAAAATCTGCGGGTACTTTGCAGTCTTTCAAAGCTTTGCAATTTAAACATACTGCATTGCCATTTACATCTGTAAAATTGAATTGAATTGTAGTCAAGACCAAAAATGTATATGTTTTATTTGCATTATTTTCACTTTATAGTGACTTACTGGGAAGTAAATAAAGAAACGTCAGGCTCGAATATATGAAAATAAATATTGAAATTTTGAGTCCATCCATCATTAAATTTTTTTAAAATGCCAAATGAGAGTGAGTCAAAAATTTGGAATTCAATATGAATTAACTTCTAAATATATTTGAGCAGTTTACTTAGTTTTGTAAGGATTTCAAGTAATATATTATTATATTATTAATATTATAATTTATTATTATTATTATTATAAAATTGGGGGTTGAATGAATTATTTAATTTAAGCAAACAGCTTGACTGGCTATTTGCCTCTACAGTCACCGCCGCCTTCAACTGCCGGGGAAAGTTCTGTGACGGCACCTGTGAACTCCTTCAACTGCACTCAAGGAGCTTGCGTAATTCCTTAGGTAAATTTATAATTACTGTAAGCAACTTGAACTAGTTACGCTAGCAATTGATGTTCCGTCTCTGCCTGTGCCTTCTCCTCGTTCTGTTGCTCCCACTGACTCCACTTGCCTCACTTCAGCAAGCAGCAATCAGCTAGCAAATAAGCACCTAGCAGATACCCTCTACCATAATTATAGATCTATAATTATATAATTTTTGCATTTTAATTTAAATCCAATCATTGATATAACAATAAATATCGACTTGAAAAATAAAACAGAGAAACATTTTCTAGTAATATTCTCTACAATATATTGGTTACTATATCTTTTGATCTTTTCATATTCTTATCTAAAATGTGCCCTAAACACCCTAAAATATCAAGAAATTGTATCGCTTTAATTCAAGTTATATAAGCTTTCTAAGATATAGATTCCAATGAGTTTTATCATGTCTCGACCTACATTGCAATCATTAATATTGCTCAAAATTGATTGTTATTGATATGCCAAGTAAAACGCTTTTCTTCACTCTACGTTCTAGTTCATATCCAGCCTGGGCACAGTTTAATCATTCTTTAAGAGTCCAGGGTATAATAATACAACAAAAATATAAAAAAAAAGAGAAAACGCAAGTAAACAAGAGGCAAGGTAAAAACTCGTATCAAGTTTTGTCTAGCAAACTGGCGTCGGGGCAATCTAATTTCCATTTGCACTGGCCACTGCACCCACAGTGCCCTACGATTGCCCTTTACAGCCTCGGCAGTTACTAGCATTTTCATTAGTTTTCCGTTTTCAAGCACTCGCACCTGGCCGACTGTAAAAGTTCTGTGCGCAATGAAGTGCCATTTTTGGGCGCCGGTTGCAAAAAGAGCACTTCCTCAGAGAGAGAGCGAGAGAGAGATAGAGAGAGAGAGAGAAAGAGAGACAGAGTGGGTGAATATACTTCGCGCATGTTTTGCATTTTATTGATTTTAATGAAAATGCAATTAAAATTTTAGCATTCGATAAGAATGCTCGCCCAGTACACAGCATTAACAAGCCGAGCCAGCAGTGCAGAGGACATGATTTATGCCATGTTTGACATTTTAATTATGCTCACAGCCAGCCATCAAAATATTTATAACAATATAAAAAAATGTGTATGTATAATATATGTAAATGTGTATATATTACATTATTTTTAATCAAATTTCATCAGAGTTCTTGTTTTTCATAAATTATACGGATCGTTTGTTTCTGCTGCTGCTGCTGCTGCTGCTGCTGCTGCAGTCAGTCGACTGCATTTTGTCTGTGCATTATTAATGTTCAATTAATTGCATTAAATTATGCTTGTAAAACATGCAGTTTATGCACTTAAAATGTACTCAATGGCGCTGACAACTGTCCATTACAGTTTGACTCTGTTTCTATATGCATATATACTCGATCATATATTGTGATCAGGTGTAGAAGTGTGTCTACTCATCTGTCCACTTGTCCTCTCTATCAATTCGTCAGACGCTCACTCTCTCTTCTCTGTTTTCTCTGTATATTTTCTTTGTTCATATATCTTTCTGTCTTTATCTACTTTTTTGCTGTTGTTACTTTAATATGGAATTCATCAGCCCCCACTCCATTCGCATTAAGTAATTGTCATCGCTCGCCGCATAAAAATCCAATTAATTTTTATATCGGACTCGTGTCAGTTTTTGCCATAATACAAAAGCAGCAGCAACAGCGGCATTGGGATCCTGGCGTGTGGGCCAGCTAGGCGCAGCGCACAGGACATTCGCAATTAGTCAACAAATTTAACACAGTTCATTGAACAAATTTCAACAAGGCAACCTAATGACATAATTTGCCAGGCTCTTCCACTCCCACACACACTCAGTATCAATCTCTCTCTCACTCTCTGTCTCTCTCTCTCTTTCTGTCCCTCTGCTCACATGTAGCGTTGCCTGGGTCAATTCGTGTAATTGTTATGGGTACTGACTGAGGATGAAAATTACAAGCTGCTAAAGATTAATGATAAGAAATTCATTAATGAAGAAATAAAATTTCATATAAATTCGGATTCATGATGTGTTGATTACGATAACCTGACCAAGCGCTTATCCCCTTCTCTTTCTCTCGCTCTCTCTCTCTCTATCTCTCTCTCTCTCTCTCTCTCTCTCTCTCTCGCCTTCTCTGACTTTTGCTTTTACAGAATGATCTCTCTTATTCATGAGCTGTTTAAATTTCTGCTCTTTTGCATATTTACCTTGTTATTTTATTACGTGGCGGATATGAGCGGAGCACAAGAAATAAAATAAAGATGAGACAGCAGATGAAACAGAGGCAAGTGGAGAGGCTGGCACATAAACAGCGCGAGGAACATTGTCACAGCAGGAAGTCAAAAGTCAAATGTTTTTTATATGCAAAAATATTTCATTTCCTACAGCGACAAAATGAAACGAAATGTTAAAAAATAATAAAAAGAAAGTATATATACAATATATATATATATATATATATATATATGAAAAAAATGCGACAAAGTAAATCCGGTGTAAGGGAAAAAGTATCGGGATCCCAGTACAAGAAATGCAAATAAAAAACTGCAATAAAAATCTGTTTAACATGAACCGAGGGGACGCACAAAAATCTACAGCTAGTCAGTCAGTCAGTCAGTCAGTCAGTCTGGCGTTCTGCTTGTCGCTTTGTCCTTGCTCCTTTGCCATAATACACTTTACAACTTATGAGTGCTAATAAAATTCACTCGCCATATCCTTGACAATTCACAAAAAGTGCGCCAAGGTGCGAGCAATGATAAAGACAGCAGCAGCAGCAGCAGCAACAGCAACAGCAGCAGCAGCAGCAGTAGCTGAGGCTAAGATAAGGTCGCCTTATGGACAGCATAAAATGCGATTTCATTTGTGTGTTCGCCTCTTCTTCGTTTTTTACATCTTTTCCAAGTGGAACACTTGCCCGCACAATTTCTGCAATAATTTCGCAAAGGATTATGCCTGTTCGTTCTGGATTTGCATTCGAAATGTTACTCTGAGCCAAGTCCAATGAATATTTCTTACCTCTTTTTTAATTTAAATGCCATTTTTAAAGTAAGAGCAACATTGTCCACTGAAAGCTTTTTTTTCAGCTTATAAATTGTATGCTGGAAAGTTGAGGCTGATGAAGCAAGCAAGGCTCCATTCGGGTATGACTAAGATTATACACTGAACACCGTCTGAACTACTTTTTAAAGAAAATTCGATGCGATGACTCGAATCATAATAGATGTTGATGCAAGTCCTCTACTGATATATGATTATTCACATTTTTTTTATTTCTTCTACTTAACTATTTAGTTATTATTGATTGTTTGATTGTGACGGTGATTGAATTTGGGTTTGTTTTATTTTATGCTTAATCCAAACTTTGGAGAGCGTACTTAGGAGATCTTCTAGTCGTCTGCCGCATCTAGAGTTTTCCTCCTTGTCATACTGATTTTATTTTCCTTTCTTTTTTTATGCGACAAGCTTTAGTTAATTTTTTCGCTTTAAATATAAAATAAAATCAATGTAAACCGTTTAGAAAATTAAAAAAAAAAAAACCAATAAAAACATTTTATTTTAGAGGCACGTATAGACAGGGCTAAATTGCCTTAATCCTCTGTAGAACCGAATTGGAAAATGTCAATAGCCTTCAAATTGTTGTCTAGGATTGTCTCACATCAGCATGTAAAATGCTGCTAGACATATAGTTATGACTATAGCGTCTTCTTTTAGTGCACTTTCTTCGTTGCGGCGGTCTTTGCGTAAGTGGCTTCTACGTGGACAGCCGCACAAGATCATGCACGATGCACAGTGCATACCGATTTTCAGCGGATCTTCTGTGTGCTCCGCTATCGTGTGGCACATGCTATCCTCGCCAGCAGAGCATATGGTATCCGAAATAGTGCCTTATATAGTGTAGTGTATAGTGTGCTTTTAGAATCAATTATATAATATTATGAATCAAATGCGCAGCTACCAGATATTGTGTGACCCGCTTTCAGGCATCTATCCATGTTGGGGTTAGCAGGATCATTTCCTGTCTTTTCAACTACCTTGTCCTTATCAACCTTCTTGGCGAACTTTTTAAAATTTGTGTGTACTTCACACTCTGCTAAAATTTCGCAGTTGAAACACCAAGCTTCGCCGTTTATATCTGTAGGATTGAATTTTTAATTAATTACTAATTATTTTATTATTATTCACTTTTTAGTTTCTTTACTTGTGCATCAATAAAACTTACTGGGAACTAAAAAGAGTAATACAAAGCTTAGATATATGAAAATGGAAACCAAAGTATGGAATCCAGCCATCCTTAAATTTGAATAAAATTAAATTTTGAGTAAACAATTTAAGCGACTATAAAAACCGAAATTTTATTAAAATATAATTTAATATCAGTTTGCTTAGATTTGTATAATTTCATCTTGACGGATGGAACTAAATCGACTCAGCTCAGCTCAGATCAGTTAAATACTATAGGCTATCTTAACAGATACGATTGAAATTTTATTAAATTATTAGATTAATTATATCCTATTTTATTATTATATTACGGTATTTTATCTAAATTTTTATTATAGCCAAATAGTGGGTTTTCAAGGAGAAATACACAGAGTAAAATATGTAATATTTTTTTAAATTAATAAAAAAAAGAATTTCAATAATTTATAAGCATATAAACAGTTCATAATATAATATTTATTGAATAATCTATATTTTATGTTATTATTATTATTTTGCTCCTATTTCTAATATTATAATTATATTATTATATATATTATAATGCATTTTTTTTTTTAAATTTTTTTCTTTTTTTTTTTGTAATATTCAGTCAATAATATATTATTGTTAGCAATATCTAATCTTAAGCTTCCGTTTAAAAAAGAAAAATTTTAGAATAATTCTACCTGCATAATTCTCTACATTTGGTATTTATATTATATTTAACGGTTAAACTGGCTTGCATGTAAAATTCCCATGACATTTTTATGTAAACTTACATTGAAAACTCAAAAGAGAATTTCGATTCAAATAAACAAGTTTGTAAAACAAAGTTCACCCTGAGAAAATCCACAATAAAGAAAATCCTGCAATAAGTCATATTTCTGTAAATATACATGTATATATATGCACCTGGACAATGCTAATCGCATGGCGACTCCTGCCGCTGATGCTGCTCGTACTGGCCCCACTGCAGCCGACACTGGCGATATGGTTTCCGTGGTACTTTCATCGCTATGGTTTCGAGCCGCACAGCAGTCGGCATGGCGCAGCTATAAACGTGCCACCGTCCGCTGGCTCAGAGAAAGCTGCCACTCCCGCAGCCACAGGCTCAGAGACATCCACAAGCAAGCCAATCCAGGGTAAGGGCGAATCGCATGTATGTCCGCCTGGGTATCAGCTGAAGGACAAGAGCTCCGCCACATGTCCGCCCGGCTATCGGTTGAGGGGCAAAGACTCTAGCGTTGGCCAGAAAACTCACCTGTGCGATGACAATCCGCTGGTTATGCAGCTGGCACGCCTCTACGTGATTAGTCCGGAGCGCATTGTCCTGCTGCTGGCGCAGCCGATGCTAGTCGAGTCCTGTGAAGAGATATCCGATGTGCTGGATCGCATCAGCAGCGCCACAAGCAATTGCATCGTTGCCGAGGACAACATCTATGGCAAGCTGGCTGATGGGCTGAGCTACTACAAGTCGGAGGTCTGCGACGGAGTCAACCGAAAGCGCCAGGCGCGACTTAACGAGGCCCACAACTGCCTCAAGGAGCTGCGCACCGACATGATCGAGTGCGAGGGCCCAGCCGATTGGTATGAGAAGCGCAATGCGACCAGGGTCTGCAGGGCCTTCAATGATGTGCTCGACTGCTACTACACGCGCAGCGCCATGCTGTGCGGCCGGGACGCAGCTCGGCTGCTCAGATCCTTTGCCGGCGACAGCATGAAGCGCGCGATGATCAATAACTGCGAGGTGAACAGGCGGCTTCCCCGTGTCGCAGATGCTATGCCCGCATTCAGTGTTGCGTGCCCAACTACGAATTCCTTAAACATTCTGTTGGCATTTACCTTTATCATTTTTCTTGCATTATAATACACACATACATTTACTTATATTTATATAACCGTATATAAGTTCATTCGACGGCGACACGCTGACCCTAGAAATCATTTATCAAATGCTTTGACTACAACTCGAGGGGCTTCTAATGCCAACTTAAGTGTTTCGCTACAGCGAGTAAATTTCAATAAATACCCAGCGGGCTTAAACTGTCGACAAAATAAGCCAATTTACCTACAACCCCAAGCGCACACACACACATTTGCTACGTGTGTATGTGTAGCAACCGCAGGACACATCTAGGATATATTCGGTTTTGGCTTGAAGGTTGCCTACAAGCAAAACTCATCAATTATGTTGACGCGGACTGCAAATACATGATTGTATGTGTGTGTGTGTGTGTGTGTGCGTGTGTGTGGTATGTGGCGTGCCACTATGTGTGAACGGGTGTGTGTGTGCGTCTGTAAGTGTTGTTTTTGCTAATGACCCTGCTCTTAAGCCATCAAGAACTTGCGGACAGTTATAGCCAGTTATCGGTCAGGCATTAGCCTTTAACAGCCCGACAGCTTATTAATCTATGGCTAAATATAATATAGAGACGTATCTTATTTTCTGAGCTGAGAATTAATATTCTATAGCGTTACTTCTCTTGACATTTATATTCATTGCATTGCAATCATAGGAAATAAGCTAAGTTTGAGTTTGTATATTATAATTATATTATATTATATTATAATTATATAATATAATTTTATTTGATTTTCATGTTTTATTTAGCACACCTAAATATATATATATATACATAAATATATATATATGTATATGTATATAGTATATATTCAAATAAATTCAATTTGTCAATTGTCTAATTCATTTATTTTATATGAATAATTATTTATATATATTGCATATGACATGTATTCCCTTAAATATAAAACAGATATTCAGGTGTAATAGAAAATTTAATTTGCGAATATACAATTCTGAATATAGAGATATTAGTGTTTGACAGCCGTCTGATCCATGACTCTTCTTTTCCGAGCTATTAGTATTGACAAAGATGCTGACCATGTTTAGCTGTGGTGGTAAGGGGGTGGTAAGGAAAGGGTTAGATAATATGAATGAATCAAGAATCGCGAATATACTCACAGTAACCTCTTCGCCAAAAGTCTAGTTGAGTATAGTAGAGTATAGTAGAGTATAGTAGAGTATGATTGGGTATAGTTGGGTATAGTTGGGTATAGTCGAGTGTAGTTGAGTATAGTTGAGTATAGTTGAGTATAGTTGAGTATAGTTGGGTATAGTCGAGTGTAGTTGAGTATAGTTGAGTATAGTTGAGTATAGTTGAGTATAGTTGAGTATAGTTGAGTATAGTTGAGTATAGTTGAGTATAGTTGAGTATAGTTGAGTATAGTTGAGTATAGTTGAGTATAGTTGAGTGTATTGAGTGTATTGAACCATTCAATTTGAGTGTATTGAGTGTACATTCATGGTGTGGCCAAGAATCAAACAGTTTGTGTGTAGTATAAGCTTTTTAGTGTAGTCAGTAGTGTTGTGTTGGTGTTGGTGTTAATGTGTGCGTGTAGCTGAATTGCGTATTGTAGTGTAAGAGACGGTGTGTACAGTGTATCTCTGGGAGCTCACCTCCCATGTTAGGGTTGCCGTTCCTTTCGAATTAAATAATTAAATTAATGTTATTTTTATTATACTTTGCGTACTTACATATAAGAAATTGCCAAGAAGTCCTTTTTGTATTATTTTTATTATTATTATCATTCTTTTTATGGTTTTTTTTTTTTTTTTTTTTTTTTTTAATAGTTCACTTTTCACTTATGCTAAAATATGCTTCAAGCAGGGATTATTTATTTTACTTATTCGCTCACAGCTCTTTTTTTTTCGTTTATAATTTTTTTTTTTTTTTTTTTTTATTAAAAAAAAAAGTTGGAATGTGTGTTACTGCTTGAAGCAGCAGTTGTGTACTGACGATATGTACGGAGTATGGAGACCCATATGCCGTTCAAATTTTCAAGATCCAGTCAAGGCCAGCTTTGATGTTACAAACTGTTCCATATGAATGATATATACAACTGTATACGAATAATTATAGCTTAATTTTGTTATAATAAATTTATGCTGAAATTTATTTCAATAAAACTAAACAAACGGTAAAATTATAATTATGGCTTTTCTTACCTATTCTATACAATATTAATTACTTAAATTTGTAAAGACTTCAAATTATTAAATTAAAGGCAGGAACGCTAATCGGACAGAAGGACATACGGACATGGCTAGAGCCACTCAGTTGATCATGCTGATCTACAATATATGTGTATGTATGTATGTATGTATATTTCTTTATTTTCAGCCGGTTTAGGGGATATATTTGGTTGCTAAATAAGCAATTCAAGTTAATTTTTTAATGATCAATTAAAATAGTTATCAAATTGTTTAACTTTGCCATGACTAATATGAAAGTTGTTTTTCAGAATTTTCGCATAAATTTCAAATATTTGCACAATTGGCGCTATGAAAGATTTTGTGGATGTCACAGCTAATAAAAGTTATGAACTCGATGCACAAATTTAATGGCATAATTATACAGCACCCACATACCCACACCCGCACACACACACACACTCACACTCCCACCTAGACAGCTGATAGCTGCAGCACATAAAGTGAACATGGAGACAAAAATGCTAGACACACGCATCGCAGTGGGACTGGGGCTAAGTGAGCTGAGGGCAACAGAAAGCCAACAGGGGTGGCAAAGGGGTAGCGCATGGCGCCTGTTTGTTGTCGCCAACGCAGTTGTTGTTGTTGCTGTTACTGTTGTTGTCTAGTCCATTAAAAGCGAGCGCTGCTTGGTTCGTTGGCGCCAACGAGACGCTCAAAATAAAAAGCAGATTGTTCGCAAACAAAACACGGGCACATTTCAATGCTTTTTACCTGTTAGCTCTTACCTGTAAATACATTGGGGCGACAGACAGACAGACAGGCAGCCAGATGGCTGACAGGCGGCTGCTGTCGCCTGGCATAGATAAAATATCTTTTTGTTTTCAGCCACATAAAAATAAGTGCTCAGAGGACAGAGAGCAGAGACCCTAAACCCGTACTCCAAGTACATTTCAACAACATCCCTTTAATGCGACTTCTCTGCTTCATGCCATTTCGTTCGCTCGGCAATTGATAATAAGCACGCTCTGGCCGAGCGATTGACCCCAAAAACTTGGTCAGGTAAATGTCATGCGAGTGTGTGTGTGTGTGTGTGAGTGTGCGTGTTAATTTGGCATTGAGGAATGCATGTTAAGCAAATTATATTTAAATTAATGTCAATTAAGCTATAAATGCACTGCATTGGTAATTATCAAATATTTGCAGTCGAGCGCATCGTGAATACATTAAGCGGATAGCTGTGCGTATACGTAATGCGTAATGCGCTCGATGCACCTGTACGTATGCAAAGCATTGAGACAATCAGTTTGATTAAACACTGTTTTCCCTTTTTATGGGGATCGTTAATAGCTCAGAGGTAAAAGTTTTTAAAATCGATTACGAATTTCTGGTGTTGTTCAAGTTAGGAAATGCAAACAGAATTTGCTTTATAAACAACATTATTAAGTTGTAATTTATTGCAGGTCACCCGACACTAAATCTGCACACTTTATTTTCAGTTTGCGCTGCGCTGGCAGCCACACCTTATAATTTAACCATCAATTCAGTTACCGCATCACGAGCTAAGCCTTTTCTTGGCATTCGCATTGACATTCAAATGCCACAGCACGTACGCGTTGGGCTCGACAAAAGGGAAGAGGCGGAAAGAAAGAAACGACGAAAGATTGAGCATATTTAATAAGTTGACAAAACATATTTCACACGCACAAATGCGTCAGCTTTTCGCTTCGTGCTGTTTCCTTTGCTACAGCATCTCCATACACACACACACACACACACACATACATATGTCAAGCATCATTATTAACAGATTTTTGGGTGCGACACGCACAGCGCACTTGGGCGGGTTGGCCTAACCCGATTGTGTGGGACAATGTTATTGACGTCTATTTCAATATTTATAAACAGGTCCAAAAACTGTATTATGCATGTCAAATAATAATAAATGGGATTGAGCATTGAGAACCAGCCAACGAAACGTGCTCGACTTTAAAAATTCACACAACGAAACAGAGAAGCGAACACCCATAACTACATCAAATTCAATTTTTCAACAACTGATTGTGTGTGTGTGTGTGTGGGTGTCGGCTCTGTGAGTGTTGACTGATTTTGTTCATTGCAATTCTTCGGCTTCTCTGGCATGCAATTTTCATAAAATATGCATCATTTAGCAGCAAGGGACAAACGCTGCAGCTGACAGGCGTAAATTCGAGGGGTCGATTTGGGCAAGGGGGGGGAGAAGCGTAGTGCGAGCATTGCATATGGTTTCAGCTATGTGGACATAAATGCCACCTCATTGGAACTGACACTAATACTCAACTAATAAGCGTGCTGCCGAGGTAAGCCACAGGGACTGGCGGGCAGACAAATGGCTGGATGCAAAGCTGGTCAGTATCTCAAGTGGGTTAGAGCCAGACTGCATTCAAGCAACTCGCTCTCTCGCACGCTCTCCCTGTCTCCCCCTCTCTCTCTATCTCACACAAACGGCTAACTACTGGCCAAAACGCAGGCAAATTAAACCCATATCTAACTAAGAGCATCAAACCTTGATAGGTCAAGCTACACAGCATCAATGGTTCTCCAAATACACTAAAATAGTCAAATAAAAGTGCGATTATAAATGCCATCTACACCACGAAATGAAAATTAAAACTCACGTTAAGAAGAACCCTAAGAATATTTTAAGAATGTTACAAACGATTAATTATTCACTAAACAGATACAAGGAATTCGAATTTTCATAAACATATATTTGTTTAAAACAAAACAGGAAATATTTATATAATATTCAGCTAATATCGATGAAATTTTATTGAATAATTTATATTTTTTATACACTTTAGCTTTAACAAAAAGTTAAAAATATTTGTTCTATATTTTTAGGGTTTTCAGCCCTGAGAACTCAGCCTGAACCCATTGAAAATGGAAAGCCAGGGTATAATAGTTTTGTAACAGACAGAAACAGGCGTGGCAGATGCCATAAAGTATTTAATTTTTTGGTCAGTCAGAATCAGAATATAGCCGTGTTCGACTGGCCGTCCGTCGAGATCTTAGACGACATAAGAGCAGGATTTCTACATGTATACCAACACAGTACAAGTTTATCATTCGATTTTCTTTTTCTCGAGTTGAATCGATAAATTGATTCCGTTTTTTTCAGCGTAATTTGAATATTATTGAACTGAGAAGCTTCAGATGCACGGTGTATATACATTTAATCAATACAGAGATTATGTAATTAACAGATTTTATATACCACGTCCCCTTTGCTCACAATTTGTAAAAAACGTATATAAAGTAAAAGAGACTTGTGCCTTGAAATATATAAATATTTAACATTATAATCACGTTCTGAAAGATTTACTACAAGAAAAATGATTCAACAAATACATTCACATAATATTGCCCACACTGCAGCGCTGCCCAAGCGAAGTCGCTGCTTACTGCGCAGTTAGCAGAATGGTTTTTTGCAGGGTTCACGGTATCTTTTCGTCGAGCAGTCTCGACTAATGCTCTTTTCTTGTCTTCGTTCAAATGTTTGTACGGCAAATGTCATGCATCAGAGACGATGAGCTGAGTCGATTTATTTTTGTTCTTAACGTCTAAAAGTCCACCTAAAATCTTGAGAAATCTTAGCAAACTGTTTCCGAATTTTTTGAAAAGTTAATATTACGAATTGTTGAGTTAAATTAAATTTTTTGTTCTCGTTAGGTATTGCTGAAAAATTGAATGATGGCTGGAGTCCCAACTAGTATATGTTTGTTCATATATTTGAGTTTTGCGCTTGTTTATTTGGCTCCCAGTAAGTTACCATAACGAAGAGTCAAAGCAAATAATTCTATGGCCTCGAATGACTGTAAATTACATTTGACAGATGTGAATGGAGAACCTTATTGTTATCGTTGCTACAATTTGAAATACTGCAGAGTCGACACAAGTTTTGTTAAATACGTCGACAGTCGCGATGATAGCAAAATAGTCCAGAAGGCGGACGGTGATCCTGACAACGCGAACATGGACGCATGCCTGAGTCCCGGCTACAAAATATCTGGTAAGTGCGCATCTGTTTCATATAGTATACTCTATAAGCTACTCTCTTGCATTACTGTATTGTATTTTAGATCCTATAGCAAGAACTATATGCTCTGGTAGCAGTGATGGGTTGTGTCATGCAATCGGTGAGAGAACATCAAATATAGAGGAAATAATTTTCCATTGCGGAGTTTGCCATAAATACTGCGGATGTAAAAGGACGAACAAAGAAAATGCTCTAAAAGATGACGCTTTAATTGTAACAATATGCCTAGCAATTTTCTATATTCTTATGTAATGAAATTTAAACAAATAAATTAAATGATCAATTTCCATTTCATTCATTTTAGCATATTTAGGATTGTCTCTACTTCTCTACCTCCATCTGATACTGTTTTAATATGTATAAAAGCAAAGCAATTAAGCCAAAAGAGGGGCGGGCACCCGGCTAAATCGACTCAGCGGATCGACCTACACAAGAATATATACCTTATGCGGACTGCCACACCTCCAATATACTCAGATTTCTCATTTTCATGATTCAGTGTTCAGGGTATACAAGTATAGAGCCATGTATAAAATGTATGCAAAAGCATATGAATGGCATATATATGAGTAACAAGAGCAAAAAAGACAGCGATGGCGAGACCGAAGGTTGGGCCTGGCAGACAGCAGCCAGCCAGGCAGTCGGGTTGCGGGCAACTTTTGTGGTTCAGTTGGGTGGTGGCTGCCATGGCACTTATTTAATTTATAATCAAATCAAAAAGCGGCCAAGTCAAGTCAATAAAAGTCAGGGCAAAGTGCGAGCACAAAAACTTGAAGCATTTCTGATTATTGGGCATTCAAATTGCCTCAAGCATGAATTATGTGCGGGTCCTAGAAGCACAAATGTTTGCACATTGTTGTTGTTGTTGTTGTTGTTGCTGATGCTGTTGTTGTTGCTGCTGCTGTTGTTGTTTGTCCTATTGAAATACTTGGAAATGAAAGTAAATAAGCGTAAAGATTCGCTTAGTGAGTCTCGATTCGTAATGCGAATGCCACAATTGTTTAATGATAAGTAAATTTAACTTTTGCTAAGCTCTCAAGTTTACATTTCTACGCATTTATTTTCAATATGCGAAGGCGAACATTTTGCGGTTTCGGCAATCTTAAATGAAACTTATTTTCTGTGTTTGCTTTTGGCCATAAATTAACAGTTGCGGCCAGGCCAAAGAATTATGGCATACAATTCTCTCGCAGTGGGTGCGTGTATGAGTGTGAGTGCGAGTGGTAGTAATTTAAAATATTCACGAGCTGTAAAGTAAATTCGAAACATAAAGGAAATATTATGAAGATTTTCAATTATATTTTGATATCACTGTCAATTTATTGCCCTTGAGAGGTTTTCGTGTTTCTAGTTAAAATGAAGCCCAAAATTAGACAGCAAAAACTCTTAAACTTTAAGCGAAAAATTTAACTTAAATCTAAAGATATTAAACTTTAAATTGAACTTGAATGATTGTACAAATCTAAGCAAACTGTTTCTAAACATTTTATAAAGGAATAGAATTCTGAATTTTACAAACAATTTTCTTATTAGGTATTATGTCAAATTCGACAGTGAATGGATTACAAATTCCGCTTTTTATTCTCATACATTTAAGCCTTGCATTTTTTTATTTAGCTCCCAGTAAGCTTCCATAGAGAACAAATAGACAAGCGAATCAACAACTGACTCTTACAGATGTCAATGGCGAAGCTTGGTGTTTCAAGTGCGATGAATTGGCAAATTGCAAAGTTCCCACGACTTTTCTAAAGTACGTTCATGAGGAGGACGAGGGCAAGATAGTTAGAAAGACAACTGGCGATTCCTCTATCCCAAAAATGGATAGATGCCTGAGTCCCGGTTACAAAATATCTGGTAACTGTGCATCTCCTTCATATAGCATATAACTTACTCTATTGCCTACCTCACTCCATTTCAGGCTCTGTACTAAATACTATATGCTCTGGCAGTGTAGATGGTATGTGTCACGCAATCGGCGCAAAGTCAAAAAACCCGAAGGCTGCAGTAGTGCATTGCAAACTCTGCGACAAACATTGTCAGTGTCGAGAAAAACGCGACGGCGGCGACGGCAAGGAAGACAAGGAACGCAAGAAAAGCAAGGAAGACAAGGGAAATGCTCTAAAAGAAAACGCTATAATTGTAGTAATATGTCTGGCGGCCTTTTATATTCTCGTATAATATACATCATTTTAAACCGCAATTTATTGGCTTAGTTTAACATTCGCGAAATAGGCCAAAGATTATTTAGCAATTTAAAAATCCATCTTATATTGAGTAGAGCCTTCATTTGCTTTCCCTAGTCACGTACTCTCCCCTTATTTGCTCTATCATATATACATTTTCCCATTGTGCTATATAATATATCTTATATGAATATATAAATAAAAATATCATAAATAAATTCATAAATTAGAAGCAAATTTTTAATTTAATTAAAATTCTTAATTTTCCTTAAGAAAAAATTAAATTAAAACAAATATTTGTTTGGTCATACATATTTTAATATTCTTTATAACAAAATATTATTGATTTAATTTGTATTATTCAAATCAAATTTCAAAGTCGCAGACATTACAAAAATAAAATAGGAATAAAAAAAATAAAAAAAATACAAATACATTTGTATATTTGCTTCCATCCATCAAAATCAATAATTAACAAACTAAAATGCAGCTAAAAGCAGCTGCACTTGGCATTCATTAAAATGGATTCGGCTCAGAGCGTGTCAAAAGCCAAATGTAAAATAGTGTCCAAAAACCAAGTGACTTGTTGCACTTAACCAGCAGCTGAGCAAAAGAGCAGGCCGACAGTCATAGAGATAGAGATAGAGACAGAGAGAGAGAGAGAGAGAGAGAGAGAGAGAGAGAGAGAGAGAGAGAGAGAAAGAGATGGGAATATGTGACTTGATGAGGAGACACAGAGTCTTCGCCCACTTGAGGCAAAATGCTTGAGCGTCTGCCAGACAAGTTTTTTGCGAACTATCCTAATGATGTGCCACACACACAGCCACACACACACACACAGACACATCAAATATTTAAGACAAACTGTATATATGCATGTATAGTATACTATATAGTGCATGTTATTTTTCTGCGCCTCTCTAAATGGCGCCTACAACTATGTCAAGCCTGCAGACTCGACTGTGTAATGTGTCAATGTCATTATGCAAGGAATGTCCCCGACTCTGCAAATGCATTTGTTCACTTTAACCTACAAAAGTACAACAATAAGTGCAACACACATTGTACGTATATAAATGCATATACAGCTATAAATATATTGTTTATACCGTGCTGCACTTCGACATGCGTGTGTGTGTGCGTCTGAATTTGTAAAACAATTTTTATGCTCCAATTTCCAATCAAGACACGCACCAGAAATTCATTGCCACCTGAAGCATACAAAGTTGGACGCGACATTAATGTTGGAGCCACAGCATATTTTGTTTTACATTCTTTTGCATTTCCTTCTGGCTTTTATTTATTTTATTTATTTTTTATTTTTACTGTGCTGGAATTCTTGTGGCTGACGGCAGTTGAGGCAACAAAAATATAAGCAAGGTTTTTGCGAATATCATATTACAAACTGAGGCCTGCCGAAGAATTTAAAAATTCAATGTCGAAGCTCAACTATTCATAGGCAAGACTAAAATTGTATTTAAGCTATAACAGAGTAAAAAAAAAAAAAAAAAAAAAATTGTATTTATTAATATAATTATTTTATTATTATTATTTTTATTTTATTATTTTCTTTATTTATTTTAATATGTTTTTTATTGAAAAATTTTGTTTACAAATCAAATGGTTGAGCTCATTTTGCTTGTTATAAGAAATTCCAAACGAAAACAATTATTTATTAAAATAAAAAAGCATATATATATAATTTCATACAAAGATAAAAAGTGAGAAAAAAAAAACAACAACAAAAAGGAACCCAGTGCTGACACACTTTACGGGTGACATTTTTCACTTTTGCTGTTGCCGCGTATGTTATCTGACTTGACTTCGGGCTGCTCATACAAATTTAATTAAAGAATTTTCCACTGTTTTTCCCTGACAAACAAAATAAATAAATAAATAAAACGGGCAAGGGAAAGGGAAAGGGAAGAAGCAGCAGCAGCAACAGCGAAATCAAAAAGATTTATTTACCAAGTGCAAATTTATTTTCATTTCCCCCACTTAATGACTTTATGCAGGCGAAACCCGCGAGCAGACAGCATCGGAGACATAACATGTGTCGTAAGTCCAACCTCATTCCACTGGGCGTATCAGCTTTCCTACCTCCTACCCCCTACCCCCTTCTGGTGCAGCAGAGCCAAGGCCTGACGTTGAGACGTCCCTTAAATAAAGGTGCAGCCGGCTTCACTTTCAGTTGCACAGCTTCTGCTCTTCTCGACTTGCAACGGGCCATGTGAGATGTGCTAGTATAATGTCCCATTCTCTACATTACTGTTCTTGAAGTGTACGTTAAATGCATTCAACAACTTCCCAACATCTCCTCTTCCCTATCGCCCTATTGCCCCTCTTTCGTATAAATATCTGTAGACGGCAACACGTATTAGCAAAAGATATTTAAGCTCCATGTAATACGTGTAGTTGAGAGTTTTCCTCTCTAACTTTCTCTGTTTCCCTCTCAATTTATTCGCTCTTTTCTGAGAACTACTTGCCTGCTTTTCTTCCACATTTGAAAAATGTAATTTCCACCTTATTTTGTTCCATGTAATTATTTCCCTGCTTCTCCATTTTTTTTTCTTCTTCTTCTTTTGCTACAGCGCGCAACAGTTGTTGTGGCTGCTTCTTCTTTTCTGCTTTTTCGAAATACAATTTTGTTAGAATTAATTTCCTAATGGGTCGAAAATTGTATTAAAGATCTAACTGTGCCCCTCACAGTGAGCAGCCACTGAAGACTTGAGAACTTTCTCTGCGACTTGGCTTAAAGTTGCGCTCTTCACTTTATATTTTATAATCAGCTGCAGCTGCAGCTGCAGCTACTGCCTCAAATAAGTACGCTCTCATCACCTGTAGCAGCAGCAGCAACGTAAACATTTCACGTAATCGCTCAACACCTAATCAACATTCAGGCAAAACCCTTGCGAGAACTCTCACGGCCAACCCTTCTACACACACACACACACTCGCATACGCACATACACAATGCAACAAAGTTTTTGTAGTGAGTCGGCCACGCCCACACTGCCAGAAAAGTTGCTGCAAAAGGAAACGAGCTGAACGTTTATCGCAGTTTTTGGTAAGCAGATGAGCAGATGAGCAGATGAGAAGATGAGTATATGAGCATAAAGGATATACGCTGTAAATTTTCATTTTTATGAAGTTGCACAAAGTACGAAAATGTGGTTACATTTTGGATTAAACTAGTTGCTGTTGTTGTTGTTGTTGCTGCTGTTAACGGCAGTAGCCGTATAGCATATATACTATGAGCCAACAAACGAGCCGAGTAAATGTCAAGCGAAGAAAGCGAAAAGTCGTTTTCTTTTTCCATTCCTCTCTGTTTGCCTCGCTTTTGGCATATGAAAATGTTGTTAAAAAAATGGGGTAAAATATGAAAAATAACTGACAGCAGGTGCCAGATATATTTCAAGGCTAATAATGGCAGCAAACTGTGTGCAGCGAGAGAAACAGTGACAGAGAGAGGGAGAGCAAGAGCGAAAGCGAGAGAGAAGCAGAGTATGACAGATAAGCAGCGGTGTTAAGGGCATTTCTGAGTGCTTTCATAATAATCTCATATTTATACCAGCACCAACTAAAGCGAAAACTTATTTTTATATATCTTTATCGTGTCACATTTAAGTATTAATAAACATGTTGAAATTTTGTTTTCATGAAGCATCACATATTAATATTACAATGGCAAGAGCTTGACTGAGACATTAATGGCAACTTAAAAGCGCTTCAACTGACTTTTATAACATATAAATTTCAATTATTGCATATTTCATGATACAACTAGAATATATATACATAAGCTAACGACTTGTAAGGCAACATTTACAAGTATATATAGATATATATTTATATTTATTTCACACAGTGAAGTGCTATGAAGATAATTTAAGCAAAATTTCGTTAGTTTATACAACTATTTTACCATATTCTTTCTTTAAATTCAAATTTACATTGGCCAAGCCGAAGTTAACGACTCGCTTGATGCTCAAAAAATGTTTAAAAGAAATGTATTATAAATTTATATTAAATTATATAAATTTAAATGTCTTTGTATACAAGATAAAAATATGTTAATATTTGATTTGCTGTCAATATATACACTAATTATATTACGCTTCATGCACAAATTTCTATCTAAATAATATATGCCAAGACCTCACTCTATAAATTAGTTTTAATTTTATATCTCTATCTCTCATTTTAATAAATAATAGAAGAAAAATAAATTTTAAATGAAACTAACATCTTTTTACCCCACATTGTGCTGCTATCTTATAATAACTTATTTCTAATATTCCTAATAAATATTTTTCATGTTGTATAAATACTTTCTAGTCCTTTATTCCCTATCTAAATTTTATATTATCTCTAACTTTTAAATAAATATATAAAATGAATAAAATAAATAAACAATTCGGTGTGAAATATACCTCTACACATTTCGCTGCTATGCCCTAATCGTTTATTTATAATCCTCACTATAAATACTTTTCATGCTCTATAAATACTCTGCTTTTACTCCACTCTCATTGCATCAAAGTCAAGAAGTCTCGCAGATCACAGCTCGAGCCTCAGCCGTTTTCAATTTCAATGTCAATCAGTGTCTCGCGAGAGAGAGAGAGACAGATAGAGAGAGAGCATCTCTCTGTCCGCCGCCTTTTTGCTTGTAGCTTCACCCCTTTGCAACCGCAAGAATTCTTTAGTCTGTTCTGCACACATGTTAACCTCAAATTCGCTGCGTTTTCCTTACGCACAGCTGGGGCACATGGAGCACTCCTCGTGCTCCATGCTTGATTTATTTTACATGTCACGACATAAGCGAACTTTTCCCTCCAATAGCCACGCCCCCTGCCCCATTGCCTTGCGATGGTTGCAAATGCGACACGTTTGTGTGTTTTCGTGCGTGTAATAAATTTTTTATATGCATCGAACAAAAAACAGCAACAACAACAAATATGGCTAAATTCTTAATCGACACCTGTCAATAAAGCACTTTTTTCCTTGCCTTCATCTCTGTTCAGTGGAGACTTCTCTGGATGGATGGATGGATGGGTCTATCTCTGGAGTGTTTGGCACTCTCTATTTTTAATATGCCATCCTTGTGCGTTGGCTGAAGCGCTTAGCACACAATACTTTGCATACAAGCGGACGGGGTTAAAGCGGTATAGGAGGTGGCGAAGGAGGAGGAGGCGCTCGACATGCCACAATGGATGCAGGCCAGACACTTCTGATTAATATCTGGTTGTATTGACAGCTGAGATTTGCCACACACACACACACACACACATGCACACGGCACCCCATTGAGTTAATAAAATGCCAAGTGACATGTTTGAGTCGCTGGGACGTGTATGAAATTCTCAAATTTAGCGCCAAGAGAAGTTGGAAAATGAGCAAAGCCAAAGGACTTTCATAACATTTCATTGCGACTTACCAGTGTGTGTGTGTGTGTGTGAGCCCCTGAATTATTGTCAGGTTTTTATTAAATGCGTTGCTCTGCGCCTCACAACACTAGCAACAAGAACAACAGCAACGAGAGCGCTGACATAACTCATACGCCATGGAGTGCAGAGCCAACCGCAAGGACTGGCAGTGGACCCATCCACGGCTTGACCTGGCTAACGGTAAACTGGGCAACTACACCAACGACGATTGCCCAACAAACAAAGTCTAATGACAGAGATTTATGCTGTAATTGCATTTACTCGCACTACGTACAAGGCCGGCGCTGGGAAAGCTTGGATACGCCAGATACGCCAGGTATACGACAGGTACGCCAGGCATGAGGTAAGAGGTAAGAGCTAAGAGGTACATACTACACGGTACTCAACGAGCACCGCAGCTTAAGCTCCACATAAAAAAATAACGACGAGTTTATACGCTCACCAAGGGATTATGCAGGGGATCAGAGGGAAGGGTAAATATAAATAAATGCAAAATATTCTGTAATGCAAAAATATTATAATTAAATACAGTCAAAGATGGACAAGCTTCTACATCGAGTTTTAAATATGAAGATATGCAGATATAGAAACAGTAGCATTTCTTGTTAAAAATTTATGTATCATAAATAGTATGTTCATTTATATTATTTATGAATAAACATTTTAGTCATTTCTAGAATTATTGCTGCTTTCTACAAAATTTATATGAAAAAAAAGAACAGCTGAAAATTGATGCTGAGTTTAAAGTATAGTTTGTCTTTTACATTTTTTTAATAGAACATATTTTTAAATGTATTGATTTAATAATATTAATTTTATATATTAAAACATATACAAAATTATAATATATTTCATTAATTTTTAATTTAATTTAATTTATTTTTGTTGTATATATAATTAATATGTTGTATTTAATAAATACAATTAAATTTAATTTAATGATTTTAATAGATGAATATATGATATATTCATTTTAATATTTAATAAAGAATAGACAAAATGTTTATAAATATATACATTATATTTTTGGATTATTATTTGTATTTTAAAATATAACTAAAATTAGTCGAATAAATTACAAAAAAAAAAATATATATATATATTTATTTAATATTACATTCTTGTTACTTCTTTTCTTTTTATACAAATTTATAATACATAATACAAATTTATATATACATTCTTCTTAACTGCCATAACTTTAATCTATAAGCTGTAAAATTATTTTTAAATTTTATTAAATAAATATTTTATATATGTATATCTTAGAGTCAAAATACTGAAGCAAATATCATGTAAAAAAAAAATGAAAATCAATTTAGATTGGCAACATTCAAATTCTTAAAAAATTGAAAACTTATTACTCGACTACAGAATTTTGTAGATTTTTTTTAATGAAATTCCTGCACTACTTTTTCTGTTCACTGCCATAAATCTTCATGAATTTTTCATACCCTTGATCTGCTTTAGGGTATTTGTGTAAAAGAAATGCGGCATAAATAAGCACTAAAACCAATTATAAGTTTTGTTTTGCTGCCTGCAATTGGAGATTGCAATTGCACATTGCACGTTGACATCCGGCAAAATGGCCAAGCACAAAGTTTAATGAAATTGAAAATAAATGAGAAAAACATTTTACACACCTCTTACAATGCTCTCCCATTTTCTTTCTCGATTTCTCTCTCGCTCTGTCTCAGTTTGTGTCTCTGTGTGACATGGGGATTTGTTCTGGGTTTCAGTATTTTAATTGCAACGCGGGTTCGTTCAAGTTAAGCTCAAGTTTGAGGGGGAGAGGAGCTCAAAGCAAGTGCCATTCGCAATTCTCATCAGCTGCAGTGGAAGCAGCTGCAGCCAAACAAATGGACAAATTAGCATGTAACCAAGCTAACGCCCTCCCCGCCCCGTTTTGAATGTCTACACAGGCAGGCGCTCACACGTGCGCACTTGACTTGGACTTCATTGCACTCACGAAGCACGTGGAGCATACTTGTGGAGTTTATGGGTCAAGTGTTTATTACGCCCGCGGGCGTGGCCCCAAGCAAAAGCATTGCTAAATTGTAGCACATTGTAGCTGAAAACAACTGCAAACGAGTGCCAGAGTGAGAGAGAGAGAGAGAGAGAGAGAGAAAGAGAGGGAGGGAGAGAGAGAGTGCCCAAAGTGTTTGTTTACTTATGTAATTGTGACGCCTCATATGCTCAAGACTCCCGAGTTGGGCGCCATGCCAAGCGAATGTAGGCGAGAGCAGATTCATTCATGCTTTCCGTAGTGTTATTTGTGTAGCTGCGAGTTAAATTTAATTGAAAGCTAATTGCGCTGAAATGCGAGTCTTTTAATACAGCCATCGGCATGGGCAATCAATCTATCAGTACATCATTTGCTCCATTTGACCAAAATTATTGAATGCTGTTGCTTCATTTGCCATGCAACTAATTGAGTGCAGCCAAGCGATGTTTGCATGCCAATTTTCTTCATTAGTCTATCTCACTCTCTTTATAGCAGCTCTCTTTGTCGCTCTGTTTGCCTGGCTGTCTATCTTTTTGTACCTTTCTCTTTTGGGCAAGGCCTTTTAATTGCAGTTAATTGAACGAAATTGTTGTTTGGCATATGAACAGACAAATAGTTGCCAAAAATCTTCCTCAACTATCTCGATTTTGCACACATAAGTCACTCGATTAGAGCTGAGCGCGTGTCGTCGTGACTGAGCACGAGGCACGAGAAACACAACATGTCAAGGCTCAACAGGCCAATATTTACAATAAGAGAAATCATAAATCAATTTGTATTATATTCTAGTCCATTCTATTCTAGTCTATACTGGAAGCAAGTCAGCTCAAGATAAATTATTATATCAGATTTATGCAAAGCAATGCAATGATTGTTTTCGGCTCTCGCACGAGCTCAGCCCAAAATAGTAAATGTGTATTTTGTCTTGAAAAATATTTTGTAATGAATTGATAGCTCACAAATGGCTTGAACTGTAATTGAAATTTGCGTCTGTGACAGCAAACAGCAGAGAAGAAGCAAGTGCTGGCCATGAAGATAATTGATGGTAGAATAGGACGAAATCTATGATAAACTTAGAGTCGAACAAATTACTTTGACAGACGAGCACACTGAGTGCTAAATGAAGTATAGGCCAAAATCAAGTTGCACACAAAATATATCATCAAGTGGGCCTATAGAAAGCGCACCTTACATGCATGCCACACATATGTATATACAGATAAACTTGTATATGTATATGTATATGTATATGTATATGTATATGTATATGTATATGTATATGTATATGTATATGTATATGTATATGTATATGTATATGTATATGTATATGTATATGTATATGTATATGTATATGTATATGTATATGTATATGTATATGTATATGTATATGTATATGTATATGTATATGTATATGTATATGTATATGTATATGTATATGTATATGTATATGTATATGTATATATGAGCTGAGTGAATAAATTCAGCCTCCTAGCCACTTGGAAAATCGCTTAGAATAAATCCCATTTAAGCTTTTTCTTTCATTATGACTGCACAGATTAACGCCATAAACATAATTAACTAATTAATTAACGGCCTGATTAACGGTAAAGGGCCAATGTAATGCCTGTAGTAGCGAACTCAATTTTTAATGCATTTCAGCGCTTGCCACGGCTTTCAATTTGATAATTTCACTCAGTCGACTTTAAAGTTTAAGCAGCCATGAAATGACTGACGCACTGCGTCCTGCGTCCTGCGTCCTACATCCTGCATCCTGCATCCTGTTGCCTGTCACCCGTGTTAGCTGCGTTAGCTGTTGCCTGTTTAAGCCAGCGAACCGAATAAATAGAAAATTGTGTTGACACAGGCACAGAACAAGGCTGGCTTAGGGCGCTGAGAGTGGCAGGCAGGCAATTAACAGATGAAATATGAAATGTGTATCAAATAAATATTAGAAATAAGTTCTGCTGCTCTGTTTTAAGACATCTGTAAATGTATTTATTACGTCATTCAAATAGATATGATGTTAGAGACGAAATAAACAACAAAACAAATATGCCTTCTGTAGCACTCTATGCTGAATTTGTTTAGTAGTAATGGAAAACGAATAGATTTTTAAGTCAGTCTAAATTATATTTGTATGTTAGCTTTAGTTTTTAAATTTTAAGATGGGCGTATTTCGTATTAGGGTTTTTATTCTTTATATATATTTTTGCTGCTCCTTTCTATATTCAGTTCCCAGTAAGCGTCCATTATACTTATAAGGGTATTGAATGACTGCCAACTAAATCTTACAGATGTCAGCGGCCAAGATAATAAGTGCTTCAACTGCACCGAGCTGGTAAATTGCAAAGCCTCCCAGTATTTTCTAAAGTACGTAGATTCAGCGGATAAGAACAAGGTAGTTTTAAAGACACCAGCCGATAAAGCTGATCCAATCCTGGAGAAGTGTCTGGATGAAGGCTTCAGAATAAATGGTATCGGTGCACTTCATTCATAATCTGCATCATTCATTCTCTTGTGTACATCACTGTATTTCAGATACGCTAAAGGGCACTTTATGCTCCGGCAGCACAGATGGCCTATGTCACGCAATTGGCCAGGCCACTGGCAGTCAGAGCGTTCTCTTTAGTCATTGCGGAAATTGCTACAAAGAATGCGATTGCTACAACCAAAATGGAATCGATCGAACAGAAGGCGCTATTATATTAACAATGTCCCTGGCCGCTTTTTACACTCTGATACAATAGAATTTTAAACAGCAAATGAAATTGTCATTTTTCTTTTCTACATAGAGTGATGAGTCTATAGCCCTGTCTCTGCTTCTATATCATCCATCTTTTACTGAGTATGAGTATGCTCAGTGTACTCATATGTGAGTGTGTAACTGAAAAATACTTTACTTTAAGCAGTAGTTGAGGGTACACTGGTTTTTTATTTTATTCATGTATTTCTGATGTACCTTTCTATATTCAGTTTCCAGCAAACATCAATTAGAATGAAACCTATATAATAAACGCATTTAATGACTAAGCTAAAGAAACAAGATCTTTCAGATGTAAGCGGCAAAGATGTCTGCTTCAATTGCACCGAGTTAACGAGTTAATGTAGAGCTGCCAAGCATTATCTAAAGTGCGTACAGTCAGCGGATATGGGCAAGGTAGTTATAAAGCAGCCATCCGATAAAGCTGACCCTTTGATGGATAGATTTTTAGATGACGGCTACACAATCAAAGGCGGTTCATTTGTTTCATATATCATTTTGTCAGTCTATACATTATTGTATTTTAGAGACACTAAAGGGTATGCTCTGGTAGCTCAGATGGCTTCTGTCACGCTATGGTTGGGGCCACGACCAATGACAGCCTGTACTATTTACATTGCGGAAACTGCTATATCGAATGTGATTGCTATAACCAACAGAATGGAAATGATCGAAGAGAAGGCCCTATCATTTTAACAATGTGTCTGGCAGCTTTTTACACTCTGATACAATAGAATTTTAAACAGCCACAACTTCATTGTCGTATACCATTCATCTTATACTGAGTATGGGACTCATAGTACACATATGTATTCTGGGTATACACTAGTCGCATCTTGAGCTAAATTTCTAAAAGTGAACTACAAAACTTTTTGGTTCTCAAAATATATATCCATCAAAGCATGCCTTTTATAGGAATCTCAGGAACATTTGATTAGTATCAATGGAAAAACAATACAATTCATAGATTTTTAGTCAGTCTAAATTATTTTGTATGTATTTTTAGTTTTTAAATTTTTAAATTTTAAGATGGGTGTATTTCGAATTGGGTTTTTTAATCTTTTTATATATTTCTGCTGTGCATTTCTATATTCAGTTCCAAGTGAGCGTCAATTATATTTATAAGTATTGAATGACTGCAGACTAAATTTTACAGATGTAAGCGGCCAAAATAATATGTGTTTCAATTGCACCGATTTGATGGACTGCCGAGCTTCCAAGCATTATCTAAAGTACGGACATAAAGAGGATACGGGCAAGGTAGTTCGAAAGAAACCAGGTGATGCATCTGACCCATTGATAAGTAAATGTCTAGATGACGGCTATACAATAAAAGGTAACGGTGCATTTGTTTCACATATCACTGGGTCTGCAATTTATTCCGTTGTATTTTAGAGACACTAAAGGGTACTATATGCTCTGGCAGCCCAGATGGCTTTTGTCACGCAATTGGTGAGGCCACTACTAATTTCTCCATTTCTTACTCACATTGCGGAAATTGCTATATCGAATGTGATTGCTACAACCAAGAGAGTGGCAATGGAACTGGAAGAGAAGGCCCTATAATTTTAACAATGATTCTGGCGGCTTTTTACACTCTGATACAATAGAATTTTAAACAGCAAATTAAGGAGTCTATATGGCTATTCTTCCATCTACATATATATTCTATTTGATACTAAATACGTAACTGAATGCTATTTCGCGCTAAAGTCTAAAGACTATATCTTACCTCTTAAGAATAAGTGGGAGCAAAGCAGATAATAGTGATATCGTAAAATCATTCATGTATATATATCTTATATGGACTGCCACAACTCCTTCTGCCTGTTAGTGTAGTAACGGCATCATTTCTCATTTCTCAGTTCAACATTCACTTGTTCCCTCACTCTCTGCGACCAAGCAGACTACAATCAGATTACATCATTTGCATTATTCGCTCTCCAAAAGATGTGAAAGTTGATTAACAGTTAGTTGCTTGCCATATCGTACTTCTTTTTGATTATCGGTTGGATTTGCACATACATACATATATTCTTTTGGGTTTATATATGTATGTATGTAATTATATTTGAATTTGTCAGATGACTTCCACTCAAAGCAAGCATATATGTATATGTACATATGTTTATTTGTGTGCTTGCAGTTGTACTTAAACAATAACATAGATACCATATAGCTGCACTACTCGCACTTTCTTGTGTTGCTTTGGCTCCGTGATAGCAAAACGAAATATACCCCTCCTGCTCTGATCATATGACTTTACTCTTTGCTGTTACGAGAGTGAATGAGCTGCAATCTTGAGTTCATTGTTATGAGAAGAGGGAAAAGGAATTCGAGTATTTTGAGTATTTAGTTTAGCACAGCTTTAAGAGAGTGCAACTTGTGCGTGAATATGTATTGATCTCTGATGAATGTGTATGTATGAGGGAATAGCATCAGAATGAACAGAGCGAGCAGTCTCAGATACAGATTTTCATACATACATCTGTATACATACATATATATTACATAATTCTACCAACTGCCTAAATCTATTAAAGTAAATACCAAGCCGAAAATCAACATTCTTTGTTTATGTTTGACATTAGGAAAAACTTTTTTGCTACATACTTTTGCCGTTAAAGCTACGCACAGATAGAGAGCAAAGGAATGCTCCCCTGACAGCATCGCCAAAGTGGCTAATTACCTAGTAGAGCAAACTCTAAGAGCAACATACAAATGTAGGTATGTATGTGGGTGTATGTGTGCATGTGTGTGAGTGTGTGTAGTAGTAGTAGTAGTAGCTGCCCCAAGGCTATTCAACGCTAACAAGGACATCACAGCTTGTATCTCCTCATGTGTGTCTGTGTGTGTGTGTGTGTGCGAGGAGGAGGAACAGAAGGAGAAGTAGGCGTGGCAACTGATTCAGTAACTAATGACAATAATTTGGCAAACTCTCGTCGCTAAAATAAATATACTCTGGCAATTGCCACTTTAGTCATTGAAACGACTCATTCGAACTTTGCAAATTGTCTTTCTCCCTGGATGCGGAGCTCCATAATATAAACATAAAACTCACGTGTGTGAGAGTATGTTGTGGATGCGATAGGAGCGGAGGCTGAGTGAACTCTTTCGGCACAAAGCTGTGAAAATGAGTGCATCCAAATTGTTGCATTATTTGTCACGTTTGCCATCATCAGCGAATACGTGATTTTATTTTTGTTTGCCAACGGAAGCCGATGCGACGTCGCGGAAGCGATCACATTCAACATTATTGTTTCACAAATCGAATTCATTTGTATTTGCATTCATATACACACACACGCACACACTCATGCGTACCTCAACTTTAGTTTATTTTATAAAATTTTGTGTTGGCTTAATTTACACAATTTCGCCTAAACAAAACCAAAATGTTAATGAACTCTGCGGTTGTCAGAGAGCATTTTGGATTACTATTAAAAATATTTACTTTATATCAAAATATATAAATACTGCTGTTGCTTGTGTGTTTTATAATGGAATTATTGGTTAGCATGTTGAGGTTGATTTTTGGTGCGAAAATATATTTTAGTTTACGTAATAAAAAACCACGCAGATGTATATGTGTATATAATAAATATATATACTAAGTATATGTGTGTATAAGCTGGGTTCATATTTAAAGTTTCGTTCAGTCAGTTTAGCTTGAATACGAATTACTCGCAATAGAATCTACTGTTCCGATTTTCCAATACACACGCTAGGGGCGTGGCAAATTTTATAGTATACATTCAAAATTCAAAACTAGTGGAATACACATTTCGAATGATCTCTGTAGGCCTTTTTCTCAAAGTGCAAACTTAGTTGAGCCTTAAACAACCTTTCGCATAAGTATATCAAATCACTTTTCGTATTAATTTTATATACATGTAATTTAAAATCTATTTATGACTACAAAGTATTTCCGCTTGGAGATTTTAGCTCCTATTTCCTATTGTCCTCGAACATTATCAAATTTCAATTTTTGGCTTAAATCGAAATGCCCAGAGCAAGGCAAACACTGGCCATAATGATTGATTAACCCTCGACAGAGTCTATTTAATGCTGATGAAAATAACCTACAGGAATTTCTTCACAAAAGTTAATACGCCATATCGTGATGTCACACAGCAAAAATGCCCTAATAAACATGCTCAATTTTCGTTATTATTACTGTTTTTTACAGATGCCCTGTAGCCTTCCTTTGAGTGGTCGAGTTGCAGGGGGTATATGGATTTGATGGCTGGGTACTTAACAAGTTTGTGGATATTTTTATTGAGTGTGAGAAACATATAAGAGAGGTTTTTAAATAAATATTAATATATGTTTTATAATTTTAATATAATATATTTAAATATTATTATTATTAAATATTATTTCCGCAAAGTTTTTGAAGGAGCTTTTGCCAAAAACATAAATTAGGTTAGAGCAAGTTTATATAATTTTTATTCAGTTCATCATGAAATATAGGGAATTTATTAGCCTGTCTACAGTTTTAGCTATTCCCCATTTTTTCTAAATCAGTTCAAATTACATTACGCGCTGCTCAAAAATGAAAGCAAGGCATACATATATATTAAAAAAGAGTAAGAGAGAAAGCTAGTATGTGTGAGAGAGAGAGAGAGAGAGAGAGAGAGAGAGAGAGATAGAGCGAGATAGAACTCGCATGCCTTTCGACTCAGTTAGTCTTCGTTATAGTAGCCCTAATTGGTTGACGGCTGACTGACCTGCCCCTCACCCACCCACGCCCAGTCCAACTTCCACTGCGCGTTGTCCTTTGTCCACATTTCCCGGCAACTGGGCAGTTGGCATTGTGCGGCCGACTTTGACCTCCCCAGCCAACCATACTCGTCCACTTCCCCATCCCCCCATCCTTAGTTCTGCTTGCAGCTTCAATGGAATATTGAATTACGTCTAATGGCCAGCCACTGCACAATGGACAGCCACAAAGGTCCACGTAATAACAGTAGCTGCCGCAACAAAAAGAGAAGGGCATAAAATAAAAGCGAAAAAAAAAAAAAAAATGAAGTAAAAAAGAAAAATATATATATATAATAAAAAATCTGTGGAAGGACAGAGGAAAATAATGTCTTACAAAATTGAGAAATATTTTAAATATTTGCCAACCTTAAATATGTTTGGCACACACGCGCCGCTAAGGGAGCCCAACTACCCCAACTGAAGCCAACTGTTTCAAAATGCCAACTAGTATACGGAGCCGTGGAAGTCCACTCGATATTTTATTTACTTAAAGCGCACGGAAAGAGAAAATATACGCAGTTGAAAAATGTGAAGAACACTGAATACTTTTTTAATAGAATAACATGATCATAGAAACAAAATAATTTTAATTGAAATACGTAATACGTAATATAAAATACTAAAAAATATACATATGTATACAAAGTGTATATAATAATAAAATTTAAAAAAAATAAATAAAAATAGTTTACGAATTTTTAATGAAAAAAAAAAAAAAAAAAAAAAAAAAATTAATAAATGTAAAGCTATGCAGTCAAAAAACACAAACATATACATACGAAAATTTTAAAATATAATATAGTATAAAAATATAAACAGTAATAATAACAAAATAATAATATTAAATATGTAAAATAATATAATGAAGTCAATCAATTATAATAAATACGTAATAATTGAAAATACCTTAATAATACTACAAAAAAATTTAAATTTAAAAAAATTATTATAATTTTGATAGCTTTGATGTTTAATATATAAATGTATGTATATATATTTTTTTTTAATTTAATTTATTTTATTTTCTATAAATTAGCATTTTTAGAAACTATAAGTTTGTATTGTATCAAATCATTTATTAATGAATTATAATTTTTATTAAGTAGACTTTTCAGTACATATTTTTGGCTATACAACTTTAAAATTATATTTTCAAGTAAAAGTACTAATTACTTATCATATATATATATATATATTATAAATATCACATATTATCAATAATATGGAAAATAAGTTTTCAATTTACTCTTCAACTTGTGTAGAATCTATTCTAATCTAAACATTCACTTATCTGCCATAGCCGTAACCAGTCTAATCAAAAAGCCCTAATACTCCTATTTCCAGCTGCCAATCCAACGTTTATACGTCTATAAATGTATGCGTAAAGGATGCAGCAGGAAGTTTATGTGCTGCTGCTGATGCTCCTGCTGCTCCTGCTCCTGCAGCTGATGTGGTCAAACGGATGGGAGCAAAGCTCATTGAGTGAAGCGCCTTGGCTTTTGCCATTTGATGGCATAATAAATATTTCGCCTGCCCAGGATAAACAGCGAAGACAATGAAGGCGGGCGACTGGAGCCAACTGTAGCCGGCCCCGCCCACACGAGCGGAAGTTCAATATGTTTGCATAGGCACAAGCCCAAAAGGAAAAGACCTAGACAAAAGGACTGCAGAGCGGAAGGTGGAGCGATTTGTGGCACATTTTCCGGGATACGCTTTTCATTCATTCTTTATTTTGCTCTCTCTCTATTTTTGTCAAGGAACTTGAAGACAAGTTGAAATCGGTTTTTTATGCCAAGAGTTTGCTTTCAGTTTGTTTGCGCACACACACACACACAGAGGATGAGAGAGTTTGCCTTTGTGTTGGCCCGAACTATTGGCATTTGGCATTACTTGGATCTGGTCGAGCGATAGCGATAAGGCCAAAGATCCAACGGCCTCAAAGAATAAA